TCAATCGAATTGGAATGCCAATAAAAAAAACAAAAATTTACGCTCGAGCCATTAATACGCTCATAACAAAAATATTACACAAGGAATACTTGTGTAGAGTGTATTAACTATTCAGATTGCGTTGTCTAACGGTATCTGATGAATTCTTAAGTGGCGTTATTTTATTATTATTACTATTATTTCGCTCGAGAGCGGTCCTTAAATGTCATTTAATTAATATTAAAGAGCGATTTGCAATAAACAAGGCCAAACCTTGGAGCACTCCTTCTTCTCAGATATGTATATGTATAGGTATGTGTCTGAAAATATCTGCAGAATGTGTTACATGACCAAGTCTTTTAATTTTTTTTCGAGTTGAATGAAATTGGTACAAGATATCTTCGATTGCATGGTATTTTTAAAAGTCCTGATTAAGTTTTATGAAAAAAGTCATAGGCATCAATTAAAGTCAAAAAAGTTTTTCAACATTATAAGAAACCCTATACCTACCAAATAGAAACGACATTAAATTTGGTGAATTATTAAAAAAAAATAGTAGAAACTAAAATTATAAAATTATCTGTCAAAATATGGAAATTGCCCTCAAATTATCTGTAAAAATTTGTCTTAATTTTAAGAAAACTAAAATTAACAAGCCGTTAGTAAGTTACCTTCAAAAATATCTAGGTACCTATTGGGACATTTTTTCTAAAGTAAATAAAATTTCATAATTAACAACCCAGCAAAAACAATTTGGGCTAGAATTGGTCATTATATTAAACTTTGGCAAATACATAAATTCGAAAGTCTGGATAAGGGTATGGTTTCAATTAATTGTTTGGCAATTTTTTGGAATCTCAATATTCTTGTAACGAAATTAAAAAAATTTAATTCTTCAAGAAAAAGTAAGAATTCTTCATATATCAATCAATTCCATTAAAAAATATAAAATTGGCAATTACGCAAAAAAAAATCTTCGGCTGATCTAGTTTTTGCGTGCCTTTTTGCAAAATCCTTGTATAGTCGCGGCCAAATCTGCATGGGTACACGTCATCAACTGCATATGAAGTCAGCGTTAAGGTCTATTCATACGTGCCCAGACACAATCTAACGCTCTTGTATTGTTGACTGTTTATAGCGGTGGGGGCTGTTTATTAAGATGGAATTATAACATCATGGATATAATCTTCCACACTAACTAATTAGGAGTTTGTTACGGGCAAAATTTGATTAAATGTGTTTAGAGAGGAAACCAACAGAGTTTATTACATTTTTATTACATATGTACCTAACAAAAAAATTGTAAATTAATAGAAACGCAAAAATACTAAATTACCAGTCCTCTTTGTCGTCAGAGCGAACCAGGTCAGACTTGGAGTCTGTTTATTTCCCCAAATTTATTATTAAGGGCTCAATGTCTTCGCAGTCTAATAACTGTTGGCGTTGCCAACAAGCTTTGTAACATTGTTTGCACAATCCAGTGGTAGAATATGAACACAATGTATAAAATTATTTATAATAATCTGCAACAAACGATGCTTACGGACAACAGTGCGCGCCAGCCTTAAGCTATTAGCAACTGGCACACACAAAAATTACTAAGTGAATGGTGATGACGTGCTCGCATACAGATTTGGCCGCGACTATATAAGACAGATACATTGGTAATAAAGCAAAAAAAAATGTAATTCACAAAAAATACTCACGTGATATAAGAATTGAAAAGAAGTGTGGAATTAATTAAACAATTTGTCATTGGGTTATGGCACGCAAACAACTCGATTTAAATTTTTCAAATTTGAAAAAAGTCTTAAATTATATTTTACATTTAAGTAGTGGTGGTACAACTCGATTTAAACTTTTCAAATTTGAAAAAAGTCTTAAATTATATTTTACATTTAAGTAGTGGTGGTACATAAGTCACAGTTATATTAATAATAATAATAATATCGTTTATTTTCAAAAATTTGCACATAAAATTACAAGAGAACCTACAATTATATATATAAGTATATGCAAAAAAGAAAAAAGTCAAAAAATAAATTCAATGTGAAAACAAATCCTAAAAGGAGTATTGCACCCGATCACAAAAATAGATTACAATTACTTCTTAGGTAAATTTAAGTTGTTAATTTCCTTAATATCAGTTGGTTTAGCCCTTTTAATATATTGATAACTTATGATAAGGCTCTTATGCTGAAAGATTTAAGATCTCGAAATAAAATTTTGTTTTGATACATAAAGACCAAAAATGGTTAAAATTATGTTTATTTTAAAAATACCTCTACATGAGTCGATTTGTCCTACACAGAGAAAAATTTTCACATAACTGGTCGTTGGTTATTTGTTAGCTTCGTAAACTGATGTGAAATTACATAGATTGTGTAACTTAAACATATCTATGTTTTTTTACATAAAATATGTGATTTATGTTTACACAAAATTTGTAAATAATTCATAATTGTTTAAAATGTACATGGAAGATGTAATTTATATTTACACGTTTGTGTAAATTTTATACATATATAATGTATTTTACTTACATGCATGTAATATGTAAATTTTTCAAAATTGTGTAATTGTATTCTATAGAATCATACTACAAAATATTATGTTTATTTAACTTTTGCATGCAGTTTCAGTATTAGAGTTTTAGTACAAAATATTGAATTTATTTAATTGCAGAAGTTAAATAAACCCAAAATTTTGTAATATTGCAGTTTTAATTTTTTGAAAATACCTATATACAGGTATTTAAAAAAACTGTATACACAAAAAATAGACAATTTTAATTTAGAAGCTAACTTTTAAATTGTTATAATTTTTAGGGATATCTATTTCCAAATAAAATAAAATTGTAAGTTAACAATAGTTGTATATTTAAAACAATAATAAATAAACATTTTTTAAATACAAATATATAGTACATATAACAAATATATATATATATAACAAACTTATATAAAAATTAATAGAAATTAGGATTTATTTTAATAATATTAATAATAATAATAATAATTTATTTTCAAATAATTGTTTACAGTTTACACACATATACAATTATGGAAAAAAAATGTCAAAAGCAAAGGATAAATGCATTGATAAACTAACAATTGTATCAATTATTCATTGATCTATTTTGAAATTCTTCTAAACTATATGGTTCTATATTTAATAAATAAATAAATATTATTTATTAACAAATCTTTAAGCTTTTTTTTAAATATTGACAAATTTGTTTCAATCCGAAGGCATTTTGGCAAATGATTAAAACATTGCATAGTAACAACCTTTCTCATACTGACTCAAACGGTGGCGTGGAAATATTAGATTTTGGGTACGTTGCGAAGACATACCTACCTATTTAATCTAAAATCTAACCTATTATTATTTGTTCTAATAACTAATATTTATTCAATAAAAAATATTTGGATCTGAAAAAAAGTAAAATTAGCCTATAATAAAATATTTCTTTAAACTAAAATTATTGCTTAAACTAGATATTAATTTGTAAACACGTGCATTTTTACCACTTGACATCAAAGCACCAAATTTTTTGTTTTTACTGGATATATGTTTAATATACTAGTATTGGAATTAAACTTATTTAAATAAAATAGTATAACTTATGAATAGGCAATTCTTTAAATAAAATTAAGTAAAATATATCAATTAATATTGGGAAAATCTCATTTTATTGATGGCATCGTAGTTTCTTCTTTTATGCTCCTTATTTATAATTAATATACTTACCAAATAATACGAAAAAAACAACTATAAACACAACACGACGCGTCCTAACTCAGCCAACAAAATGTTCGTTTCGTTTACATACGCTTGTGCCGCATCGCGTGACTTAATGCTCAAATCCTATTGGTTAATATTTACATGAAATGTGTAAAGGTGACCTATAATATGTAATATTTAATATTTTTATGTAGAATTTACTTTTTAATGTAAATTTTACATAGTACTTTTAAAATTTTATAAAATTCACATTATATGTTATGTACTTTTATAAGAATATGTAAATTTACATTTTTTATCTAATTTCACACATATATCTTCTTAAAAACACAAAAATATGTACTTTTACCAAAAATTTGTAATTTTTTACAACTTCAGTTAGTGTGAAAGTTGTGTAAAATTACATACATTTTTCTCTATAGTCCCAACATTATGCGAAAAACTTTTTTTTGTACTACGAAAATATCTCCCACATTAGTACTTTGGCCCCAGAAAATGATATGTCCCAAAAATTCGGATTTGTAAATTAACTTTTAACCTGAGCCCCAAACACTTAAAAAAAATTAGAATAAATCCTAAAAAAGTGGGAAAAACTCATAACTTTAAAAAAAATTTAAAAGAGTTTTTTTTTTACTTTCTTACTATCCTGAAAGTACTCCTAAAAATTCAGATTTCTAAATTAATTTTTAACCTGAGCACCGACCACTTTTTAAAAAAATAATAGAACAAATCGTAAAAAAGTAAGAAAATGTGATATTTTTTAACAATGTTTTTTCTTACTTTTTTACTTTTCTAAATGTACTTTCAAAGTTTTACATTTTTAAATTTATTTCTAACCTGAGCCCCAAACACTTAAAAAAAATTGATAATAACGTCAATTATAAAAAAATAGTTTAAACCAGGACAAAACCAGGACACATTATCAAAAACCAGAACCTGTCCTGGGTAAACCAGGACGGTTGGTCACCTTAAATATTTGCAAAATACGATGTTTTTAAAGTTTGAAATTCCACATACGATTGAATTACTCTAAAGGAGTAATATGTTTTATAAAGTTTTTTGCAAAGTTGTTCAACATGTACGTTCCAGTTTAAATTTTCATCAATGTGTAACTGTAACTGTATTTATATTTTTCAATCTTGGTTTTATATTTTTAAAACAAATAGATTGGGGTTTGAGTCAATTTTTGGCGAACCAACTCTCAACAACCCCAGTGAAGAGTCCTATTTCGGATATTAGTACATAACAATAAAACTCATTTCTCTTTTTCGCAGGGTTCCAAACTATGGATCATCATGGAATACTTGGGCGGGGGCTCGGCGCTCGACCTGATGAAAGCCGGGAACTTCGAGGAGATGCACATCGCCATCATACTGCGCGAAGTGCTCAAAGGACTCGACTATCTGCACAGCGAGCGCAAGCTGCATCGCGACATCAAGGCGGCCAACGTGCTCTTGAGCGAGATGGGCGACGTCAAGTTGGCGGACTTCGGCGTCGCCGGACAGCTGACCAACACCACCAGCAAAAGGAACACTTTTGTCGGTAAGGTGTCTACCGAAATAGAATTTTATGAATGTTGAAAACGTTTTCTTATAGGTACTCCCTTTTGGATGGCTCCCGAAGTCATCAAACAGTCCCTGTACGACTCCAAGGCCGACATTTGGAGTTTGGGTATCACAGCTATAGAATTGGCCAAAGGGGAACCCCCCAATTCGGAGCTGCACCCCATGAGAGTCCTGTTTTTGATCCCCAAAAACAACCCGCCCCAATTGACTGGCAGCTACAGCAAACAGTTCAAGGATTTTGTTGAAGCTTGTCTTAACAAAGATCCAGAAAATGTAAGAATAAAAATATATATTAATTAATACTAATTTTGTTATTTTTTTTAGAGACCAACAGCCAAAGAATTGCTCAAATACCCCTTCATACGCAAAGCGAAGAAAAACTCTTATTTAATTGACTTAATTGATAGATATCGCAAATGGAAAGGAAACAGGAACGATGAAAGTGAAACGGAATCAGAAAATTCGGATTCGTAAGTCTTTTTTCTAATAATTTGATTTAAATCACGGTTTAAATCAAGTATTTTTGTTATTTTAATCAATGGTTTAAATCAGTTTTAAAAAAAGTTTCTAAAATCTAAAAAAACACTTAAGAGATGTAAAACCAAAGCACAATAATATACAAAAAAATATATCACAGTTGCGGACGGTGGTTTATTTGTTTATAAAGTAGTGCCAATATTATAGTTATTTTTAGTATTTTTTTTAATAGTACACTTTAGGGCCATTCCACGCGTAACGGATAGGACAGTTGCCGTGTTTTTATTTACAAAATAATATTGTTCTATTATATTAGGTACCAATGTCAAATTTTTATAAATAGTTCTAAACTAAAGCTGTTTAACAAGGTTTTTATTTGGCAAAATTAGGTATCGTGGTTGACTGTTTAATTCCTTAAAAACTAATCATTTAAAGCGTAACGGACGGGACTTTGTAATTGTTTAGAACAATTTATAAAAATTTGGTAATATAATACAACAATATTATTTTATAAATAAAAACACGGCAACTGTCCTATCCGTTAAGCGTGGAATGGCCCTTTATTAAAAAAAGCTTACTTATAATTTAAAAAAATTCAAAAAAAATATTTTTGTTGATTTTTTTTTTTAATAAAAATCATCGATTTTTTTTTTGTTTTAACCCTGTTTTATTTGTAGCGAGGAACCAAAACAAGACAGCGATTTGGACGACCCGTGGATTATGACGGTTAAAGGAAATCACCCCATGAAAATGCCACCCGAGGAAGTTATTAGCCCCAATCATAAAATGTCAAACAAAGTGCAGAACGGCTCCGGCACGAATTTGGCCAAATCGCCGCCCAAAGACGCCAATTTAAATCACTATAGGCCGGAAAAAGCAGCACCTGTAAGTATTTATTTTAGTTTTGTGTTTCTGTACTAAAATGCGTTTTTGAAACTTATATATAACTAAATATTATTTTTTAATCGAATAAAAAAAATTCATTTCTTATTAGGGGCATTCCACGTTACTCGGTAATTTTTGTCCCGCCCGTCACAATTAAAAATTGTGAGTAAAAACCACAAGTTATTAAATTAATATTTTATAATATTATTTTTATTGTGCTTATAACTTATTAAAACCATAATAAACAATATTTTAAAATAAATTTTATAACGTAGTTTTTACTGAAAATTTTTAATTGTGACGGGCGGGACAAAAATCCCAGTAACGTGGAATGAACCATTAGAAATTACTTATTTTTACAATTAAATACTTTGGCAATATTTATTTAAAGAAATAATAACATTAACAATACTTACAGCTTGTATTAAAAATTTGACACTTACTAATGAGGTTCTTGGATTTTTGTGTTCCTATTAATATTTAGTAAATATTATTTACTATAATAGTAATATGGGTAGTATATATGGGTCATAATACTTTTTAGCTCCATCTACCTCTAAAAATAAATATTTAGGCAAACTTAAGGTAATTCTAATGATACTCTTAGCAGTAAAGTTTCGCTTAAAGAGTCTTTTATTATTAAGTTTTAATGTCCTAGCCGTAGCAGTGCAGTGTGACAAAAAGAGAAGTCACGAAGGAGACATTTTTCACATTACAAAAATCTATTTTCCAAATGACACAATAAATGCACATAAATCATTGCATTAATTAAAAAGAAAGAAATTGTTTCACTTTACATGAAAAAGAAAATTAAATACTGCAAATACTTACCGGGTAAATGCCGTGACGAAATATAACCTTCAAAAACACGCGCTGTCTGTTTGTAACGCGCAAAATAACAATAGCGATACTATTGCCTGCAGCGGCGCCATCTCGTGCCACTGTTATAAACTACATGGGTTACAGAGTTTTTTATATGTAATGCTAATTTCCATTGTATTTTATAACAAAGCTGTTTTTATTCAGGGTGTTTGTGACGATGTAGACATTAAATATAATGACAAGGTTTGGTCACGCTTAAAAAATTTCACAGACATTTTATCACATTCTTTATTAGTACTGAGGAGCTACTCATTTGTTATTTCATTTTAGTTTTAGAATTCTGTTTCATACAAAACCTATGAAATATATCTAAGTTTTCACTATTCTGCCCAAAAAGGCAAAGAGCAGTAAGTGACTGCCTTTATATACAGGGTGGTGCGAATTTTATTTCCCATCATTTGCATGTCATGAACCGTAAAAGATACGAAGTTGGTTAAATTACAAAAAAGTTGCGCTTTTTATGACCATTTTAAGTATGTTAAGAAAACTAGGATACTTTTTACCGATTCTGAAATATCCTAAAAAATACCAATTTAAATCTTAAAATTGTCCAGTGGCGTCCTGGGAGGCACCTTACAAATATTAATGATAAAAAATGTACACCACTGACTTTTTTGCAATTTTTATATTTTTTTATGATGTTTATTTTTATGTACTATGCTCCACACTTCAAAGTCCCACCACGTGACCACGTACGGAACGCAGTCTTTTGATAATTTGTCATTTAAGGCTTTTCAGGTTATGTATCTGTCAAAGTATAGTCAATGAAAGAAATAATATTTATACTGTTACCGTTTATGTTTAAGCGTTAAAAGTTTATAAATCTTTATAGTATCACAGTAACAATGGTTGGTTTAAGAGTTTAGGAGTATAAATACTGCATTTAATGAAATTCTAAAGTGTATAGTGCCAAATAAGTAAAATTTTTGTGCATTTGGTCTACATAATACCTATGTTAATATATTATATCTGGTTTTAGCCATAAAATAGTTTTAGCTAAACGGCATTTATTAAAAAAATCTAGCTTCTCTATTATGGAATAAGAATATCTGTATCAAAGGTAGGTTAATATATTATAACAAAAAATATCATCTAATTTTGAAATTTTAAGGTTAGAAAAATCTATTTTGATCAAAATAAATAAGTAATTTGGATTATTTGGAAGAGTGTGTAAATATGGTCATATAAATATAGATACACTAAATAATTGTTGAATATGGTTCAAATTAAATTAAAGCTTTTATACTCGTAACAACAAAACTTGTGCATACCTTTCAGGATCCCTACCATAAGTTAGATTATAAGGAAACAAACAATTTTTAGAGATACATGCAATGTAAAAATATTTAATACTCCCATAACATGTAACTTTTGAAATTCTTAAAAGTTATAATGATTTTTCGATGAAGATAAAATTCAGTTAAAGCTTTATACGTAATTGTATTGACAAAACTTTATGTAGGTATACTTTAAGCTGGATAAGAAAGACTACTACAAGTAAAAATATTAGATAGAGTATACTGTGGTTTTATTTAAATTTTAAAATTTATAAGGTTATTTATACCTAATGATTGTTCGATGTAGATAAAATTTTGTCGAAGCTTTTATAGGTACTTGTATTGACACTATGGGTATATTAGCTGACAGTGTAAGGAACTTTAGGAAGGTTACCTATTGAATTTACAGTTTTTTAAAATTAAGTATCTAATGGTTTTATATTTGAAATTTGCAAATTTTAATAATTTTAAGGTGTTGTTTTTAGATTCCTTCTTTAAAATAAACCCCTTTTAATATTTAATTAATTTGAAAAATCTTAAAATAGTTAAGTTTTACAGTTGAAAATATTTATGCCGGAGTAAAGCAATATTAAACATTGTAAAAATTTCAAAAATCACATGTTATTTATTTATTTATTTATTTAACATCCAGAGTATTAAATATTTTTACATTGCATGTATCTCTAATAATTGTTTGTTTCCTTATAATCTAACTTAAAGTAGGGATCCCAAGCACAAGTTTTGTTGTAAGGAGTATAAAAGCTTTAATTTAATTTGAACCATATTCAAAAACTATTAAGTATATCTATATTTATATGACCATATTAACACACTCTTCCAAATAATCCAAAATACTTATTTATTTTGATCAAAATAGATTTTTCTAACCTTAAAATTTCAAAATTAGATGATATTTTTAGGAACGCCTAAATGCAGGAATGGGCTCCATCTTAATATAAGTTTTGCGTAAAATAAAACAAACCAAATCAAACCAAACCCAACCAACCCAACCCCCCGTAACCGCCCTATTGAAGCCTAACCACCCTATTGAAGACGATTATTCCATCGTGCATTGCCCTTTTTTTGGTATAATATATTAACCTACCTTTGATACAGATATTCTTATTCCATAATAGAGAAGCTAGATTTTTTTAATAAATGCCGTTTAGTTAAAACTATTTTATGGATAAAACCAGATATAATATATTAACATATTATGTAAACCAAATGCACAAAAATTTTACTTATTTGGCACTATACACTTTAGAATTTCATTAAATGCAGTATTTATACTCCTAAACTCTTAAACCAACCATTGTTACTGTGATACTATAAAGATTTATAAACTTTTAACGCTTAAACATAAACGGTAACAGTATAAATATTATTTCTTTCATTGACTATACTTTGACAGATACATAACCTGAAAAGCCTTAAATGACAAATTATCAAAAGACTGCGTTCCGTACGTGGTCACGTGGTGGGACTTTGAAGTGTGGAGCATAGTACATATAGAGAAAAAGATGCCCTTAAAGTTCCATCCCTTAATATTACTCCTAACTACTTTTATTTTGAAGTTTTTCCATTGAAATAACAGGAAATTAAGGATTTTTTTTTAATTTCTTATAGCTTGGCGACATTTTACGTTGCTACAATTTGTACACGATTGGAAGTTCTTGCAGAAATTTTACCACAATTCATATATTAAGACCTGTATTCTTCACCAGTCATCATTTTAAATAAAAAAACAGTATTTTTGCATTTTACGGCAAAACAATTAAAGTTACAGTTAAAAAGTTAATAAGATTTTTTTAGGAAATTAATTTCCTATAAAAGAGGTTATTTGCAAAATACAATAAATGTCTAGTTTAAAAGATATAAAGCATCTAATAAATTTTAGTGTCAATTATTGATTAGTAATGACTAATTAGTGTTTTAAGGCAAAACGCAAAGTTACAGGTAACAAATTAATAAAACTTTTACGAAGAATTTAATTTTTTACAAAAATAGTTTTTTCTATGATACTAAGTGACCTTTTAAATACACATTGACTAGCTGTGGGTTTATGACGCTTTAGTCACGACCTGTATTCTTCACCAGTCATATTTTAAATAAAAAAACAGTATTTTTGCATTTTACGGCAAAACGATTAAAGTTACAGTTAAAAAGTTAATAAGATTTGTTTAGGAAATTAATTTCCTATAAAAAAGGTTATTTGCAAAATACAATAAATGTCTAGTTTAAAAGATATAAAGCATCTAATAAATTTTAGTGTCAATTATTGATTAGTAATGACTAATTAGTGTTTTAAGGCAAAACGCAAAGTTACAGGTAACAAATTAATAAAACTTTTACGAAGAATTTAATTTTTTACAAAAATAGTTTTTTCTATGATACTAAGTGACCTTTTAAATACACATTGACTAGCTGTGGGCTTATGACGCTTTAGTCACGAGCTGAAGTTAGCAACAGGTTTATAGTCACAGACTGAAGTTAGTTTTAGGTTAGTTGACAGTTGTCAAATGTCATACAATCCTTAAAATAAAGTGCCTCTCTTGTAAAATAATACTAAATGTGAAAATTATTTTGTTATCTCCATACAAAAATACAAAAGTATTAAATAGTTTCTTGACGCCAATATTTGAAAAGATTGTATAAATCTTTTGATTTCGCCGTAGTAGTGCAGTTAACTAGATTTAACTGATAAAGCGGTAAAAATTTTGCGTACAATGCCCATAAAACATTCTCTTCTCTTTTAATGTGAAAAAAGCTTCTATGTCGATTGTTAGTCTATTTTCCAGGAATAAATTTTGTTTTACACAAAAAAATTAAGATTTTAACACCCGGAGATTCCCAAATTCTAACGGGAATACCAATAAATACAACTGCCACTGTTTGTACCTGTTTGTACATGACTAAAATGGCGTTTATCAAACTTGATACATAATATACTATTATGCATTAATGTATAGTTTAGAAGATACAGAGCATTTAACAAATTTTACGGTCAACTATTATTAATTAGTTTTATCGAAATTTGACAGTTAATTTTTTTAAATGCCCTATATCTTTTAACTACGGATATTGGATAAATGCATTGAATATTTTTTTATTGAAAATTAAATTTTCTATACAAATCATTTTTACTTTTTCCCTGTAACTTTAACCTATTTGCCGTGGAAGGCAAAAAAATAGGTTGAATAAAAATGTACTTTTGAAGCGTAGCTATGTAAATTGTATCATCGTAAAATACCGGCAAGCTATAGGAAATTGAAAAAATATCCCTAATTCCTGTTATTTTAATGGAAAAAATTTAAAAAGACTACCCAACAATTTTCAGAATTTTTGAGAGAAAAAACGAAAGAAACCCGTTTTTTTCAAATTTTCCGGTTCTTTTTACAACCGTAAAATCTTTATTCAAAAGTAGGGTTTTAAAATTTCCGGAATAACTCCTTTTTCCAAAAAAAAACAGTATATTTAACGATTACGTTTATTTTCTTAAATCAATTTAATTAAATTCAATATTTTTTTCTATAATAAAGGTTATTTTTTTAAATTAAAATAATTTTAAGTTGTTACTTTTTCAAAAACGGAAAAACAGATTTTTTCCACAATTTTTCAGTTTTTTTCCGAAACTTTAAGACCCTATTAAAACATATTTTAGGATGTAAATATTTTAAAAACGCGTCTTAGTTAAAGGCTCAACAAACCTTTATCTTTTTAGTCTCCAAAATCCCAAACTCCCGTGCAATCCCCCACAGAAAACAAAAAGGAGAGGGAGCGCGAGCGGGAGACCAGAGACAGCTACAGGGACTCGAAGGAGAGGGAGAAGCGCATTTCGCGCGAGCTAAGTCCCAGGGAGTTGAGTCCTCTGGATCACCGGGGAGAGCAGGAGATGGAGAAAAAATCCAACAGGAGATCGGTGGGAAGGGAGCATTCGAGCAGCATGAAAATCGAGAGTCGATCGGCGCCTTGCCTGTCTGGCTTCATATATCCTCTCATATCAGAAGTAAGTTCAATTTATTATTATTATTATTTTATTGAATCACACAACTTTTTAATACTGCCCCAAACCTGTAGAAAAACTATTTCTGCCCAAAATTGTTTAAAAACTATTACAAAAAAATAAAAAAACTGTTTTAAAAAACTACTAATAGGTACTTAAAGTTGTCTTAAAACTATGTAAAATCCGTTTTCATATGTCCAGGATAGAACTAATTAAAAATTATGTATAAACTATCTTAAAAGGGCACTGAAACCATCATTGTTTTAAAATGCCCTAAATTTGTCTAAGAAAAACAGAAGCTGGTTAAAAGTTTAAAAATTCTCTTAAACTGTCAAAACTGTTTTAAAACGTCTTGAAACTACTTTTAAAATTTCTTCAAAATTATCTAAAGAAGCATTTTTCAGTCACTTACGAATATTAAAACCATATTTATGAAACCCACAATATTTTTTTTAATTTTAGGAATTGATTGGTAAAATAGACGATATCTTCTCACAAAAATGCATTTTTAAACTACAAAAGTAATTTTATGAACAAAGTCGCGTCTAAAACGCTTTTTGCAATAAAACTTTGATTACAATATGGTGGTATATGGTGTATCCAAACATGTTGTAATCAGTTTTATTGCAAAAATGAGTTTTAAAGCACAAAAAGTGTTTTTAATATTAATTTTATAACATAAGTAGGTACCTATCACTTTTAAATTTTAATTTCATCATAAAAATGTGTTTAATGTCCTTAAAAGCTTTTCAACGCGATTTTATTCCTGAAATCACTTTTGGGATTGTGATTTTGACTATAAAAATTTTGGTGAAAACCCGTAGAAAACTATTTATGCTCCAAAATTGTGTAATAGGTACTTACAAAAATCCATCTGTGTTTTATTAATTTTATATTTTATAACATACGTATCACTTTTTTAATTTCAATTTCATCATAAAAATGTGTTTTATTTCCTAAAAAGCGTTTTTATCTCTATTCTATTCATGACAACTTTTGCAGTTTAAAAATGCATTTTTCTGAAAAGATTTTGGCTATTTTAAAAATTTTGATGAAAACCTGTAGAAAAACTATGCTCCAAAATTGTGTAATAGCTACTACCATTTTAATATTATTTTTTTATATGTCCAGGTTAGAACTAATCAAAAATTCTTTCTCTGAAACCATCATTGTTTATAAATGCCCTAAATTTGTCAACAGAAGCAGTTTTAAAAATGCTCTAAAACTGCCAGAACTGTTTTAAAACGTCGTAAAACTACTTCAAATTCCTTGAAACTATCTATGGAAGCTTTTTTCTATCACTTAAGAATATTTAATCCATATTTAGGAATGTTAAACTTACTTTAGAATTTTAAGACATACAATTTATTGAACCCACATTTTTTTTAATTTTAGGAATTGGTAAACGATGTCTTACAAAAATTCATTTTTAAACTACAAAAGGGATTTTATGAATAAAATCGCGTTTAAAACTCTTTTTAGGACGATACAACACATTTTTAAGATTAAATTGAAATAAAATAAGTGATTTTGAAATTTTGGGCAATATGTTAAGATATGCATCTTTAATGTCCAAAAAAACGTTTTTAACGCGATTCTATTCATGAAATCACTTCTGTATTTTTCTGAGAAGATATTAACTATTTTACAAGTTCTTAAAATTAAAAAAAATCTGTATCTAATAAATTGTTCAGGGCTGTATAAGGGGCTTACTTTTTAGTATTAACATAGGTTTTAATGGATTAGACATTTTTAATTAAACACTCTTTTTAGGATAAATTGTTCAGGAAAAAATTGTTGTTACTGTGTCGACTATTTCCCTTGTCTTAATTTCCACCAATCACAAACGCGCAATTTTGAATTACAAATTGTTTCTAGGTGAAAAAACTGTGTGACAGCACCTGTCAGCAGTTATTTCGATTTTACCCGCGGCAAAACTTGACAGCTGTTGTCACCAATTTATATTTACTGTTACTCATGAAATAGTCTTGTCAAATACCATTCGGGATCAAATGTTTCCTGTAAAAAAAATCAAAAAAACACAATGCTAAGTAATATTTTTTAACAAAATGCATTCGTGCAGGTGCAAAAATCCTCCTCTTTGACTCGGATTTTTGTTGCCACCAGCACTCATGCTTTTTGTTAAAATATTACTTAGCAACGTGTTTTTTCGATTCTTTTTGGAAAAATTAAATGCCCTTATGATATTACTTACGATAATCGATCAGGCATATTTTCTTTTATCAGAAGCAATGAAACCCCGTTTTTTTTGTGTAATCTTTCTTGTTTAGTTGCAGAGGAAGCACCAGTTCAACACGTCGTCGCACAAGTCGAACGACGCGATAGACGATTTGCGTAACGCGTTCGAAATTGCAGAACGCCAAAGTCCCGGCATCAGCGAGACGTTCATTTGCGAGCTGGTGCAAAAACTAGTGCCATCGATTTCGGACCAGCGGCTTAAGGGGGTTTTGGAAAAAGTCACTAGGTAAGAGGAGAAACAAAATTTGATACATAAAAATTAATAAATCTTGGCTGGTACGAGTTTTTAGTGTGAAAAATATATCAAATTTCTATATTTTGACAATTTTGAAATTTTTGGTATAATTTGAAAATTTTAAAAATTATAAAAATTTAGAAAATTTTGTGAATTTTGACTATTTTGAAAATTTTGAAGATCCTGAAAATTCACCCACGTCGTTTTCTACTCGTCAAACCCTTTCATTTAATTCCCATATCAAGTAGGCAACCCATCTTACAGCTGCCATATTGGATTGATTTATTTCTCTCATCTCTTTCTCATCTACATCATCATGAAAATTTTGACAATTTTGTATATTTTAAATATTTTGAAATTTTGAGAATTTTGAAAATTTTGACAGATTTGGATTTTTTTAAAAATTAAAAACTTAAAATTTTAATATTTTTGTAAATTTTGACAATTTTGGATATTTTTAAAATTTGGGTACTTGGTTCAGAAATTTTTGAAAATTTAAAAAATTTTTGTGAATTTTAACAATTTTGAATTTTTTGAGAATTCAAAAAAAATTCAAATTGAAAATTTTGAAGATTCTGAAAATTCACCCACCTATCGTTTTCTACTTGTCAAACCCTTACGTTTAATTTCCCAGGGATTTTGAAAATTTTGTAAATTTTGACAATATTGTAGGTATATTTTGAAAACTTTAAAAATTGAAAAAAATTTGTGGATTTTGGATATTTTTAAAATTTTGGTACTTAATTTTGAAAATTAAAAAAAATTGAGAATTTTTAATTTTTTGAGAATATGGAAAATTCGGAAAATGTTGTCAATTTTGAAAATTTATGCTCAATTTCCCTGGAATTTAGACAATTTTGGCTAGTTTAAGAATTTTTGTCAAACCCATATACCCATATCAAGGAGGTTGTGAATAAGTAGGCAACTTACAGCAGCCTTATTGGATTGATTTATTTCTATCTTACTTATGCACAACCACTAATTTCTTACGCCACGAACACACGCTACATTTGTCGCGATTTATATCGATTTTCGCACTCACACCCTGTCACTGTCGTCACATCTACATACATGACCTACGCGTTAAGCTCGATTTCCCAGGAAGCTCGTACCGCAGAGCCATGGTTACAAAAAAATACCAACGGCGTTACGTTTTTATTCTAAATATTTTTTTTCAGAGAGACATAATAAAAGACGATTGGAATGGCTACAAAAAAAACAAGAAAAATTCGACTATGATATCAATTTTAACTAACATTTTTTAGTGTATAAAGAAACAAATCCTATTCGTTAATTCTTACTGATTCATACATGACAATATCTTATACATAATATCTCTTGAGCTTAATACATAGCACTGGTAGCGTAGAAGTTTATAATTATTATTAAAACTTTCGGTTGATTTCCACCTTTTGATGTTAAATCAGTGCTTAGTTCTTCTCCCTAAATTAAACTTAAATTAAGAATGCCATATTGTTGAATGTTCGAAAATAATGACTTAAAGTTTACAGGCCTTAGATTAAAAAAATTACCATGTAAGTGCCAACTCCATCCAAGTTACGAAAAAGCATGCTATTCCACAAACAAAAAACGAAAAAGTTTCAAAAAAATAATCATTGCCAATGCGCCCCCACAAAAGGGATAATGTATATATGTATATCTAGATCGATCTATAATATCATTAAGATAATATTTTTTCTTGCAATGTATTTTTTTAGATGTGTACATATATATAAATATATATATAGTATGAATATATAGTTATCTATCCTAATTTAAATTATACTATTAAATATAAAACTGTGTCATCCAGGTCCACTATTTATTTATTTATTTGTACTTAAACTACCACGCGTTTTAGGTAGACTCAATACTTATTTTTTATTAACTTGTAAATATTTTAATATGGCGGTAACGACAATAATATAATATTAATCGGTGTTCAGTGTTCGTAATTAATTGCATTTACCGTTTCAAAATTACAAGGTTTTTATTGGTATTCTAGTTGTGGCGTCAAAATTTCTGATTTGACCCTATAACAAGAATATTAATAAAAAACTGGGAATTTTAATTTTATTTTACATTAACTGAACATTTTCAGATTCCAAATTTATAAATTCTAGGGTGGTCCTTGTTTTTGAGTTATTCCCTTAAACACTTAAACTGATAAAGAAAATCCCTGAAAATTTAAGCTCTAAGTAGTCCGCTTTGTGGTCGAAATTTCCTATGAAAATAATATGAGAAAAACTTTTTTTTCACCAAGCGGACTATACTAGTTGATATATAATAATTTTGTAACTCATTTAAAAATAATTATTGTCAAATGAGTATGACATAGTTTTGTAGAAAATTTAATGCTCTACAAAAAAGGTCTGATGTTTTTAATTGATTACTCAAACCTTAGAAGATATTCGTATCAGTACGCATTGGGATTAGAATAAGAATATTTTCTGAACTGTTAGAGTAATCAATTAAACACATCAAACCTTTTTTTGTAGAGCGTTAAATTTCCTATAAGTCATACTCATTTGACAATAATTATTTTTTAATGAGTTACAAAATTATTAAAAAATTTTTTTTTATAAATTCTTCAAACTTTGAATCTTGTATATATTGTAAATGGTTAGAGTAAACGCTTTAACAAATCGGTCCTTTTTATGTAGAGGATTCAATTTCCTACAAAAATATGTATAAAGATTTGTTTAATAATGAAATATGCTCTTTTTTATAAGGGACTAAAGAAAAAATGAAAAACTGTGAGGATCTTCCTATTAATATTTAGAACTCAAATTTGGTAAGCACTTTCTAGATATGCATAAGAACCAATTTTTCAGTGGCAGAAGTAAAAAAAAATATTCTATTTTTTAAATCACTCTAATACGCATGCGTAATTAAAGCAGAAATCGTTGTACTAAATACCTAGAGTATCCTTGTACTAAATATCTTGTGAACGATATTTGCAATTAAGATTACCTTTGGATAGAAATGATTTACATTGCAATAACATACAATTAAACCATGAAAATGAAGCAAAAAGTTATGCAAATAATATACCAAGTACAAACTTTTTCTCTATAGTTTAAGTACAAATAAAAAACATGATGATTAACAAAGACTTTTAGATTAGTTAGGAAACCTGGCAATGTGCTCTTGTGTGTAAGTTATTTGAATAAACGGTAAAAAGTGCCCTTTTATCTAAAAATATCAAAAACAATTCCTTTTAAATTACGAGGGGACATTTGTCTTCAAAATAAGAATGTTCTTTTTTCGATCATCACACTATGAGATCAGTTGCAGTTTAGTTATTCATTTAGGTTAGGATAATTTGTTAATGCTGTGTTGTATAATGGGTTTAATGAAGCAAACACGAATGGGAGAATGCATTCTCCGTTTTGGGAGGGTGTTTTTTATAGGTGAGAAAAGACGGAGGTCACTTTCAGTATTACTGTGCGATCCTGTTCGATACTTGCAGGATATGTTTACTCAAGGCTTCCGAAGAAAAGTCTCTTAGTACTTAAAACTGGACAGAATGTCTTTAAACGGTTGATTACGTTATATTTTTTGCGTTACAGTTCGGAATACTGTGATAGAGTAAACATTGATGCAAGTATTTTTTATTATTATTAATTATTAAAGATGCTTTAATGTTATAAACTGTTGCTTCAACTATTCCTTGTTGATTTTAATTGTTATCTTATTTAGAAATCCTATAGTTTTTCCGCATAGTTATGTAATAATACTGTACAGTCAATTAAAAATGACTATGTATTTTAGACTAAACTAAAAGAGTAATTTAACACTTATAAATTACAGAAAGTATGAGATCTGCTTGTCTTGTACAAAACGGTGTACATTAATAAAAATAAAATTATTTCAATTTAATATTTTGACTTTTATTTACCTTCTCTTTTTACCCCATAGCTCGACACATGGTCATCTATCTAAGTACAAATGCTTTCTCGTGTATTTGCTGCAGGAACCATGGTTCAAAGGTCATACAAATTCGTACCAACATAAAATGACGAGGGTTTAAGTCAACTTGACCATTGGAAAGGCCTGAAACAAACTTAGTGGGGGTTCTACGAGGTATGGGGCGGAATTAAAGATAATTAAAAAAACAATAAAAAAAAGTAACTGGCTACTGGGAAATTTACGTTTCATTTAATTAGGGTGAAGTGGGGTAAGTGCGCTTTTGGGGTAAGTGCACCAATTGGGTTTAAAAAAAAACTATTCAACCTGCGGTGGCACCCTCTGGTAAATGCGAAGGCATGACTCTTTTCCACTAAAATACACATCCCTTCTTTAACGAAATCAAATTGTTTAACAAAGAATGGCGACTTTATTGAGTGTTGTCGTTTTTACTCGCGTGTTAAATGCGCAGTTCTGTGAAAAAACATTTATTACTGGAGCTAAGGTATGTGTAAACTAATATGCAAAATTACCTTTATTGTAAAATAAGCTAACTTTGAAGGGGTAGGTGCTCTTGCCCCAAAATTTTCTCTTATTGGGAAAGTGCACCTACCTTCATGGGGGAAAGTGCGCCCACTTTCCCCGGAGTTAGTTTCGGCCTACGCAGTTACGTAATACGTAACATACTATGTTCTTGTTTCTAAGCACATTTTTTTTCATAGATACCATAGGAAGAAGAGGCGAAATGAAGTTTGACATCAGTTTTTCGCATTATAATATCAATTAGATTTACTGTATGAAGTTTGTTTTTCATTAGTATTGTATTTTTGTTTGATTATTTCATAAACAGTTGGGAATAAAAACTCAGAAATCAGTTTGTAATCATGGATTTTTTTTGCCAGCTAATTTCCCTAAATATTCGAGTTAAATGTAATAACTTTATAACCAATAAGTCAATTTAATTGCGGTAAATTGCAAAAAATTCACAAAACTGTGAGTTTGTTGCACTTGCCCCGTGAATACGTTCGTACTTATAATATGGGAACTAACCTGTGGTGGTGCACTTGCCCCAAATATGGGGCAAGTGCACCTACATGCACAGAACATAAGCCTACATGTATATATTTTTACAAAAAAAATAGCTGTGGTGGCGTATTACGTTTAACGCAGAGTTTAGATATGCCATGAGATACACCACTAAGGGAGTTGTTTATATGCATATGGCATGCCAAAGACTGGACTCTTACCATTGTTCTAAATAATTTTATTAACTATTCAATTTGTATTTTGCACTTGGGTGGGTGCATTTACCCCACTTCACCCTATTTGTTCATTTTTACAGTCTTTATATATATATAAAAACAAATATTATATCTATTATAATCATTACATTAAAAAATTAAATTTGTTAAATAACATTTTTTTATTGTAAAAACAGCTATACCGACAGCCAATACACTCTGGAACAAATTAATTCAAATTTTTTAAACTATTAGCGGGAATGTTTATGCAGAATATTTAACTAAAGTAAACAATCCATGTAAAAAAAACAAAATCATAATTTGAGGAACAATTCATTTGTTTATTCAAAAGTTAATAATAATATGATAATAAATAAATAATTTAAAATTTTGAATTGAAGGGGTCAATGCAAGAAGTGCCTAAATTACATTTTCAATTAAATTGTTATTGTGGCTTCATCTAAGAGTTTTCACGTAAGTTGAAAACCAGGCAAACTCCCATTGAAGTAAATGCAAACTAAGGCACTTGGGCACATATTTCTGCCACTTTGAAAATACCACCTGAAACCTTACGTGAAACACTCTTAGATGAAGCCACAATGTAAATTTAATTGAAAATGTGACTTGGTCACTTCTTGCATTGACCCCTTCAACTGTTTTTCAAATTGTGAATATTATTAATAAACCTGAAAATTTCATTAAAATATCATTAACGGTTTTTATGTTAGGTAGGTATCTATTTTTTTATTAAAAATTACAAAATATCCATTGTAAAAAAAATTGTTAAAATGAAAATTTTAAAAAACTGTTTCAGGGTTTCATTATTGATACTATCAATTTGATAGTGATATATAAATTTGAATTTCACGACAAGTGGGAAATGGGGGGTTCAGGTGAGGTGATCTTACTCAGTAGCATTTCATTGTCACAGCCTGTAACTTACAGGCAAACGTAACATTCCAGCTGTTTGATACTATTTTGCAGTATCAATTGAAGGGGTAAGAAGCAAAATGGTACAAGTGCATTTTAGCATGAAAATAAGTTAACACGTTGATGGACACAGACAAATTTTTGGCGGGACCTGCTGCGTCACTTGAATAATTCATACACCTTTTATCCTATCATCAAAAAATTTTACCGGTAACTTGATGATGCCTTTAGGGCTGTATATGGCCTTTAAAAAAGTTTGACGGCTATAGCCGTCATGCCCCACTATGAGATTTTTTTCAAAAAAAAAGGTGTGGTGGGTCATGACGGTCATAACCGTCCATGTTTTTTTCATTTCTACTTATCCATTATGGTAGTATAAAGTCACTGGTGAACAAATTATACTTTAATAATGACAAAAAGTCTAGATTCAAATTTAAATATTTATTTTTAATCTTAACAGTCTATATATATATCTATAAATACTTATAATAATAATTTATAAGTTAAAATACCTATAAATAATATAAAATTTATTTTATAAAAAGAAATTGCGTTTTAGGACGAGAAAAAACATTTTAACGATAAAAATATAGTTATAGAAGTTATATAGTGATAAAAAATAATATAATTGTTCAAAAACTTATACTTACTAGCTTTGTTACATCAAAATTATACTCCACCTTACGACAATCAAATTTTTACTCCACCTAACAAAAATCGGTCACAAAAACGGCCGAATTTTAGGTTTAAAATTTAAAAAAATAATTCGCAACCAACTACATTCTGCAACCAAAAATACATGAGGTCTCATGGGACACATATGTCAGAGCTTCCTATGGATGTCATTATTAATGCACCTGCATATGCAGGCTTGTCATAAATCAGCTAGAAAATTGCGACTGCTATAGCCGTCGTGTCATATTGGGCCCGACGGCATTTGCAGTTCTGTCCATGAACGTGTTAAGTCCAATTTTTTTGAAATTTTCTTTTAACGTGAAAATTGTACGTGTTCTGCATGTTGATTAATGCAAACATTGAAACAACTATACAGATTTTTAAATACATTATAAACTCCACTTCTCTTTTTTGCACTTGTACCCTTTTGCTTCTTACCCCTTCAATTGATCGTTATAACCATGGAGCCTACACAAGGAGTTTGAACCATAGAGAAAGGTTCAAACCAAAGAACACTTAAAGAACACTTGGTTCAAACTTAATATGTGAAATAGACAAAACCCCTCGCACAAATTAGGTTTTCTTTTTTCACCACCAGCGGCGCTGATTGTCGTTGCGTAGTGACGTCTGCTGTTTTGGTGCTTTTTCGGTATCTACAAACCAAACTATAAACGGAACACCAGCGCCCTCTTATTTAAGGATGCTATTTGTATACATGTAGTTCGGACTCCTTGTGTGGGCTCCATTATAAGAACGACATTCTATAGTATACTTGTTTAAGTTATTCAAAAATGCTTTCCAATGGAGTTGGTGCTCTTTGAAGGTGGATTTTTGTTAGTAATACTCAAATAATTAAAGAATATATGCTTAAATATAGTATAGATTTACCTTCAAAGTAAAATCTTATAATCTGTTTTTAATGTTTAATAATGGCATCTACAGCTGATTTTGAAGTGGTTATCAAAATTTGACATCTTTTATCAAACAATCTCGGGGGGTTCAATTTCTTTTAATTTTCCAGTTTTATACAATGACATACGTAAACAAAGGCCCCAGGGCCTTTAAAACTCGGAGTGACCTTGATATTTGCGACGAAAGAAGATCTCAGGCGAGAATAAAACGATACTATTCTGCAGATGTTCGTGCTTGGGGTGACGATGTGGAACAAAGACGGCAACACATTTTGGAGATGAAAGATTGTGGAAAAGGGTTAAAAGGCAACATAGTGCCCATGGATGTTATCTTGAAACTTTTTACCAAATCTCAAAACACTAATCTTAAAAGGCTTTCCTGCATATCAACGCAGCTGGTTAATTTAGTCGAACCTTTGAAGCTTACGTCCAAGCAAAGAAAGAGCTTAAATCGTTTGGTAAGATTTATTTTCAATTCTTTTTAGATAAGTACATATAAATTTAGGTGTGCTTATCCTTAGAAAAACAGTATAGAAGATGTTCTATATGGTGATGGTCCAGGAGAACCACCTTGTGGAAATAATAAAGGCACTTTAGGTGCATTTGGTGATGGTGATTCTTATACTGATTTGGACAGTATTGATTATGATGAAAATGAGAATCCTGTCAAAGGAAAGGGAAAACGTGGAATTGACGATGATAACACTGCTAAAAGAAAAGGAAAAAAAACAAGTGGATTTGACGATGATGATGATAATGATTATGGAGGAAAGGGTGGAAAAGGAGGAAACGATGGAAAAGGGGGAAAAAGAAGTCAACCTTTTGTTTCAAGTAGACTTGATAATGGCCAAATAGCCACCAGGATTAAATGTCCATTTAGAGGAACACCAGAGATTATAAGAGAATCTCCTACGAGGACGGTAACTAGGTATCATCTTGAAAAGTCTGGTAGAGAATCTGGTGGTAAAGAAGGGAAAGGAAAATCCGGTAAAGATTCTGGAAAAGGAGCAGGAAAAGGGTCTGGAAAAGGTTCTGGGAAAAGCGGAGCATTGGGTACTTCAGGCAAAGGTGGAAGAGGTGGTAGTAGACGCGATTCTGCATCATCCAAATATTCTGGGTCGGGAAGATCACGTGATTCGTCGGGTGGAGATTTGTTGTGTAAATCTGGTAAGGCGAATTGGTGCTCGAGATCAAGATCATCACCAACAGATTCAAAGAAAAAGAAGAAACCTAAAGATCAAAGGTCTGCAAGTACGCCGAAAGATACGTGTTCGAAGACTTGTAAGTACACTCCTAAATCGAAAGAAGACGGTAAAGCAGAAAAAGGTGGAAAGAGCGGTAAAGGGGGAGGGAAAGACGGAAAAGGTGCCAAAAAAAGCGAAAGCTCGAGTAGTATTGTGGCCAAAGGTGGCAAAGGTTCTAGGGGAAAAGGTTCTGAAGGCAAAGGTCCTAGGGGAAAAGGTTCTGGAGGCAAAGCATCTGGTGGCAAAGCTTCTGGAGGCAAAGCTTCTGGAGGCAAAGCAGATAAAGACGAAGATAATTCTGCAGTAAAAGAAGCAAATTCTAAAAGGCAACAAAATGATGTTTTGCATGAAGATCAAAGCGTTGGAAAATCTGGTGTCGATGGAGGAAAATCCGGGAAAGCTGGAGGAGCAGACGATGATGATAATGACAATGTAAACATTTTTTTATTTCCATTAATCTTATATAATATATAATATAACACATTACATTTACAGGCGGGATCCCCTAAAGATATGGATAAATTAATAAAAGAACGCGACGAACTAAGCAAAAAGTTACAAGACGCGTTAAAAGAGTTGGACGAACTGAAGGTAAATTATTACACCTACGAAACAAACCCTAAATATAATTTTTGTTTAGTCCGAAAAAGGTATCTCTAGCAGTTCATGTATGGAAGATATTAAGAAGATGGAACAAGATCTTGATGCTATGAAACAGGGTTCAATTTCACCTGAGGAAATAATTGAAAAACAGATTGACCTGTTGAACAAACTATGCGATAAAATCGGTGTTGTAGAAGCAAACAACAAAGAACTAAAGAAACAAGCCGGGAGAGGCGGAGATAGTAATACTATAACTTTGTTGTATATATGTAATGGGATTGAACGTTTTTTTTTTAGCTGGATCGATGAAATCACAACTAAGCAACATGCAGATGAAAATGGGAAGCATTGGTAAACTTAACCAAGAAAAAGAACTTCTTTCGGAAAAAGTAAAGAATCTAGAAAGAGAGTTGGAACAATACAAGAATCTCCCTGGAGCATTAAATGAATATCAAAAGAAATGTAGCATTTTGACAGATATTTTGGAGGAAAGAGATCAACTAGCGAAAACTGTACGAATAAATATTAGGTGCTTTAGTTACATTTCTATAATAATTTTGTAAAATTTAGGTTGATGAATTAACAAAACAAAACCAAGATATTGGCAAGTTAAAATCGGATGCTGCTAGAGCATCTGTCCTTGAACAAAAAGTTATGGAGACTGCTAGAAATAGCAGGGCATCCTTGTTGGAACTCTCAAGCGCGAAAAACAAGTGTGAAGATTTACAGCAAGCCCTAAAGGCAGTCACAGCCGAAAGAGATAAATTCGCTGCTAGAGTTACGGAGTTAGAAAATGAACTTAACGAGTTAAGAAGTAAAGGCAAAGAGAACGAACTGCTACGCGTTGAAAAGGACTGTCTTGAAATAAAGATGAACGAATTCGGCAAAATGCAGGATGATTACGACAGTTTACTATTGAAATCCAAAGAGTATGATAATCTTAAGAATGAGAGAGATTTATATAGATCAAAGTATGAAGATTTGGTTAAAGTGGAATGTCAATGCGACATGCTACGAGCGCAAGTCGAAGCTGCCAAAAGTATGGGCACTGAAAGGGATACGTTGCACCAGAAAATCTGCCAGATGCAACAGGTTTTGTGCAACAAGGATAGAGAGATATCTGGGTGCAAATGCGAGATAGATCAACTACAACAGGCTAAAGTTGAACAAAGGGCGAGCATGCAGAATGAAATAGCAAGTATTAAAGCAGAAATGGAGGCCAAAGACGTAATAATAGAAGAAACAGATAAAAAGATAAACAGCATGGAATCCAACGTGCAACAAACGATCATAGGTGCATCCGATGAAACTGTTAACCTAAGAAAACGCATCGAATGCCTCGAAAAAGAATTAACTCAGGCTAAGGCATCCCTGGCGCAGAAATGCTCGCAAGTGAAATACCTGCAAACTTTGGCCAAAGAGGAACCTTGTTTATCGGGTTCATTTAACAAGATAGATACCTGTTCGTCGGGTTCATTTAACAAGAAAGATCCTTGTTTATCTGGTTCATTTAACAAGAAAGACTCTTGTTCATCAAGTGCATTTAACAAGACGGATCCTTGTTCCACATTTTCCGAGCCGTCCGATCCTAACTTGGTAGCGAAGATGAAGAAGGAACTTGAAGCTGCTAGAGCTGAAAATAAAAAGCTCCAGGAAATTGCGAACAAAATGGTTTCCATTACAGGGGACGAACACGTGCAGCAAATGCTAAAGCAGTCCGAATGCGCTGTGAAACGGGTTGTAGAAGAATTGGGAAGGCAATATCAACAATGGGATACAGCAAGGGATAGAAGTGGAAGTAGCAATAGACGAAGTAGAAGTGGCAGTAGACAAAGCGATAAAAAAGACTGCAGTTCCAATGATAAAACCGATAGTGGAAAATGCGCTGCGTTGATGTCACACCTTGGAAAATTTAAAGACCGGGTTAATGTACTGGAGGCAGAGAATGCAAAGTTGAGATTAAACGTTGATTCAAAGATAGCGAAAAAGACAAATAATTGTTATTTAAAAAAGGAAATGGATGAAATAATGGTACAAAAGGAAAAGCTGGAAAAACAGTTGCGAAAAGAAATGTGTAAAAGAGAAAATTTAGAAAAAAAATTAAGTTCCAGTAGAAATAGTTCTGTAAATTGTGATTGTTAAATATTTATAAATAAACAACTTTATTTATCCAAACCTTTTATTTTATGATAATACGTGTACACCCACAACAAATGCTTTTATGTATCATAGAGTAGAGTTTTTTAGGGGTACGAAAATTCCATAAATTAAAATTAAAAATAGGAAAAATAATCAGGCACACTCGGGGTAAAAGGCTGACAATCATGAGTTTGTTTTGGAAGAAAGTTGAACACATTTAAAAAAAATTTGAATTAAAGGAATTTCCGCACTCTCAGAAAAAAAAATGACCTGATGCAGAAAGGTCGAAAATATTGGTTTATTTTTTTTTTAATGTAGCTGTGTGATTTAACCCAAAGATATTATTATCTTTGATTTAACCCACAATCCACACATGGATTGTGATTTAACCTTTATAATCTGTGATTTAACCCAAGTCGTTTGACCTTTATGGTTTTTGACAACATTGAAAATGCTTGTCAGTAATAAATTTTAATTATGACATTTTGCAAGGGGGTCTTTATTTTTGGCTAAATTAGGAGTTTAAGAGTTGGTAAAACATCTACAAAATGTCCTTTTTAACAAACAAGAAAAACTTACTTTATGGACAATATGAACCGACAGTTAACCTTAGACCAGAAGGCAAGTTAAAAAGTTACATCTCAGCTATAGATCTGAGGGCTTGGTGCGATTCGGTGGAAGATAGAAGACAACATATTTTGGAATATGCGGCCCACAATTTGGATGTAAATTACCAACATTGTTCTTATTATATTTTTAAATTAATATAAGTAAAATATTTTAGGGAAATTGTTTGGAGAAGTTCTTACCTTTGGATGCTCTTTTCAATGCCCTTATGAACATAAAAAGCGATAAATGTACTAAGCTTCAAAAGAAAGTAGATTACTTACAACGACTTGTAGATTTATATGAGACATTAGATTTAACGGACGCTCAAAAACAAAAACTTCAAGAATTGGTAATCCTCAGTATTTTATTTTAATTTTTTGTTGAACATTTTGTTTTAAGAAAGAACAGGCAAGACGGGAATGTCCACCACCTGCTAATTAGCTTTAGTGTTTTTTGTGCAATAATCTGTTTTTTAATTTATAAAATTGTAACATTTGTTTTCTTTATTAGAATAAAAATGAAACTTAAAATTAAGAGCTTATTATTTTAGAAAGACGAATTAGAAGAAGCACAAAAAGAACTAAAGTCAGTCTCAAGCAAGGCTTCCTCAAGGGGAAAACGAACTGGAAGTGAACCCAGCAAAAGATCAGGAAAAGGACCTGGAGGTCGGTCAAGTTTAAGTACTGGGCGTAAACCGGGCACTTCCGGAGCACGCAGAAAACCAGGTGCTGGACCTGATTCATCGGCTAGAGATAAAACTCCAGGTAGAGGTCCTGGAGGATCTGACGCAGACGGCAGACGACCTGGTGGTACAAAAGGACCAGTTAGAAAATCTCCGGGTACTAAACCCGATGATGAAAGAGCACAAGGTGCTGCCGGAGGTAAATCAGGTGAGGGTACCGGTGCTGGAAGATCACCAGTTTCTGGTGGAGGCACCGGAGGTAGATCATCTGTAGGAGGTCCAGAAACACAATCTGCCGGTCCTAGAGGAGAGCCTTCTGGAGGATCAGCACGCAGCAAAGATGGACCTGGTGGTACAAAAGGACCAGTAAGAAAATCTCCGGGTACAAAAGTAGATGATAAAAGAGGACAAGCTGCTGGCGGAGGTAAATCAGGTGAGCGTACCGATTCTGGAAGATCACCAGTTGCTGGTGGAACAGGAGGTGAAGGCGCAGGAGGTAGATCATCTGAAGTAGGGGCAACACAATCTGCCGGTCCTAGAGGAGAGCCTTCCGAAAGGGGTCCTGGAGGATCAGCACGCTACAAGGATGGACCTGGTGGAACAAAAGAACCAGTTCAAAAATCTCCGGGTTCAAAAAGAGGACAAGCTGCTGGCGGAGGTAAATCAGGTGAGGGTACCGATGCTGGAAGATCATCAGTTGCTGGTGAAACAGATGGTGGAGTTGCAAGAGGTAGATCAGGTGGTGCAGGCAGAACCCAATCTGCCGGTCCCAGAGGAGAGCCTTCGGAAAGGGGTCCTGGAGAATCAGCACGCGGTAAGGATGGACCTGGTGGTACAAAAGGACTAGTAAGGAAATCTCCAGATACAAAAACCGATGATAAAAGAACACAAGGTGCTGGCGGAGGTAAACCAGGTGAGGGTACCGGTGCTGGAAGATTAGCAGTTGCTGGTGGAACAGGAGGTAGATCATCTGTGGGTGGTCCAGGTGATGCAGGCAGAACACAATCTGCCTATCCTAGAGGAGATCCCTCTGGAAGAAGTCCTGGAGAATCAGTACGCGGAAAAGATGGTGGAGGTCGAGGACCGGGAGAAACATTTGGAGCTAATAGAAGACCGGTGCCCTCTAAATACGGCGGAACATCAGATACTGAAGGAGGCGAAGGTCAAAGCAGGGGAGCTGGTACTGCTCCTGAAAGAAGAGCTGGTGATGCAAAGGAAACTGGTAGAGGTAAACCTGGTCCGGATTCAAGTGGTGGCAGAAGTGGGGTAAAAGCGGGAGCCGCGGCTTCAAGAAGAGGACCAGGTGAAGGCGAAGTAGGTGGTGGACCTAAAAGTAGATATAGAACGGAAAAAGGAGTTGATGGATCGGAAACAAAAGCTGTAAGGAAAGGTCAAACTCAAGATAAAGAACCAGGCGAAACTAAGATTGGTCCTGGCGGTCCATCAGATGGTAGAGCAGTAAAGGGTGAAAGACCTGGGGGAGCGAAAGCAGCAGGGGGTGGACCTGGAACTAGACCTGAAGGGGAAAAAGGAGTTGAAGGATCGGGAGCAAAAGCAGGAACTGGTCAAACTCAGGATAAAGAACTAGGCGGAACCAAGAGTAGTCCTGGCGGTCCATTTGATGGTACAGGAGCAAAAGGTGCAAGACCAGGAGCAGGGAAAGGTGAGGCTGGTGGTGCTAAAGTACCTGCTGGGGCAGGAGGTTCATCTGAAACTGGAGGACGAAAAGAAGCTTCAGCTGCTGGAGGTCCTACATATGCAACAGTCGCTAGAGGGCCAACAAAAGCTGGAGGTGATAAAAAACCAGCTGGAGCTGGAAGTTCACCTGGTAAGGGGTACGTGGACATAGGTCCAGAAGGATCAGGAGGTTCAACAGACGCCAAGGGTCCTGGAGATACTTCAACTGGTAAAAGGCCAGCTGAAGGTCCTAGAGATAGTTCATCCAGTAAAGGACGTGCTGAAGCCGGTGGTCCAAAAGCTGCTGGTAAAGGAGCGGTAGGAGCTAAAGGTTCTAAAGATGCTTTGGCTGGTAAAAGGGCGGCTGGAGCAGGCGGCCCAAAAGATACTTTAGCGTCTAAAGGGCCAACAGAAGCTGGAGGTGCTAGAAAACCAGTTGGAGCTGAAGCAGAAGGATCAAAAGATGCTAAGGGGCTAGGTAAAGCAAGTCCGAAAGAGCCAGCTGGAGGTCCCAGAGATGCCACGGTTGATAAATGGGCTTCTGGGGCCGATAAAGGACCTAAAAGTGCTTCGACCGGTAAAGGTCCAATAGAAGAAAAAACGGAAAAGGGGGCGGGCGCAGGAGCGGACAGGGGCGCAGGAGCGGACAGGGGCGCAGTAGCGGACAGGGGCGCAGCGTCAGGTCCAGGCTCAGCCGCAGGCCCAGGCGCACTAGATAGAAGTGGCCTTGGTCAGCCAAGAGAAGGTCAAACACTTCCACCTAGTGCAAAATTGGCAGATGACGAAGAAATTGGGCCTGACGGTAAAATAAGAAAAAAAGGAGTGAGAGGTACAGATGGAAAGGCTGGAGGTGCTGATGATAGAGCAAGACCAAGGGATGGTCAAAAATTGTCTCCAGGAGAAAAGCTACGACCAAATGAAGAAATTGGTCCCGACGGATTAATAAGGTCAAAAACTGGAGTAAGTCCAGGTGCAAGAGTAGGAATTGCAGATGGAAGAGCAGGACCAAGGGAGGGTCAAAAATTGGCTCCGGGAGAAAAGCTACGACCAAACGAAGAAATTGGTCCTGACGGGTTAATAAGGTCAAAAACTGGTCCAGGTGGAAGAATAGGAGGTGCCGATGATAGAGCAGGATTGAGAGGTGCTGAAGCAAGAGAGGGTCAAAAATTGTCTCCAGGGGAAAAGCTACGACCAAATGAAGAAATTGGTCCCGACGGATTAATAAGGTCAAAAACTGGAGTAAGTCCAGGTGGAACAGTAGGAGGTGCCGATAGAAGAGCAGGACCAAGGGAGGGTCAAAAATTGGCTCCAGGAGAAAAGCTACGACCAAATGAAGAAATTGGTCCCGACGGATTAATAAGGTCAAAAACAGGAGTAAGTCCAGGTGGAACAGTAGGAGGTGCCGATGGAAGAGCAGGACCAAGGGAGGGTAAAAAATTGGCTCCAGGAGAAAAGCTACGACCAAATGAAGAAATTGGTCCCGACGGATTAATAAGGTCAAAAACAGGAGTAAGTCCAGGTGGAACAGTAGGAGGTGCCGATAGAAGAGCAGGACCAAGGGAGGGTCAAAAATTGGCTCCAGGAGAAAAGCTACGACCAAATGAAGAAATTGGTCCCGACGGATTAATAAGGTCAAAAACAGGAGTAAGTCCAGGTGGAACAGTAGGAGGTGCCGATAGAAGAGCAGGACCAAGGGAGGGTCAAAAATTGGCTCCAGGAGAAAAGCTACGACCAAATGAAGAAATTGGTCCCGACGGATTAATAAGGTCAAAAACAGGAGTAAGTCCAGGTGGAACAGTAGGAGGTGCCGATGGAAGAGCAGGACCAAGGGAGGGTCAAAAATTGGCTCCAGGAGAAAAGCTACGACCAAATGAAGAAATTGGTCCCGACGGATTAATAAGGTCAAAAACAGGAGTAAGTCCAGGTGGAACAGTAGTAGGTGCCGATGGAAGAGCAGGGCCAAGGGAGGGTCAAAAATTGGCTCCAGGAGAAAAGCAACGACCAAATGAAGAAATTGGTCCCGACGGATTAATAAGGTCAAAAACTGGAGGAAGTCCAGGTGAAAGAGTAGGAGGTGCCGATGGAAGAGCAGGACCAAGGGACGGTCAAAAATTGGCTCCAGGAGAAAAGCTACGACCAAATGAAGAAATTGGTCCCGACGGATTAATAAGGTCAAAAACTGGAGTAAGTCCAGGTGGGAGAGTAGGAGGTGCCGATGGAAAAGCAGGACCAAGGGAGGGTCAAAAATTAGTTCCGGGAGAAAAGCTACGACCAAACGAAGAAATTGGTCCTGACGGGTTAATAAGGTCAAAAACTGGTCCAGGTGGAAGAATAGGAGGTGCCGATGAAAGAGCAGGATTGAGAGGTGCTGAAGCAAGAGAGGGTCAAAAATTGTCTCCAGGGGAAAAGCTACGACCAAATGAAGAAATTGGTCCCGACGGATTAATAAGGTCAAAAACTGGAGTAAGTCCAGGTGGAAGAGTGGGAGGTGCCGATGAAAGAGCAGGTCCCAGGGAGGGTCAAAAATTGGCTCCAGGAGAAAAGCTACGACCAAATGAAGAAATTGGTCCGGACGGATTAATAAGGCTAAAAACTGGAGTAAGTCCAGGTGAAAGAGTAGGAGTTGCCGATGGAAGAGCAGGACAAAGGGAGGGTCAAAAATTAGCTCCAGGAGAAAAGCTACGACCAAATGAAGAAATTGGTCCCGACGGATTAATAAGGTCAAAAACTGGTCCAGGTGGAAGAATAGGAGGTGCCGATGATAGAGCAGGATTAAGAGGTGCTGAAGCCAGGCCAAGAGAGGGTCAAAAATTGGCTCCAGGAGAAAAGCTACGACCAAACGAAGAAATTGGTCCTGACGGGTTAATAAGGTCAAAAACTAGTCCAGGTGGAAGAATAGGAGGTGCAGATGACAGAGCAGGATTAAGAGGTGCTGAAGCAAGGGCAAGAGAGGGTCAAAAATTGGCTCCAGGAGAAAAGCTACAACCAAATGAAGAAATAGGTCCGGACGGATTAATAAGGCCAAAAACTGGAGTAAGTCCAGGTGAAAGAGGTGTCGGTGGAAGCGCAAGACCAAGGGAGGGTCAAAAATTGGCTCCAGGAGAAAAGCTACAACCAAATGAAGAAATTGGTCCCGACGGATTAATAAGGTCAAAAACTGGAGTAAGTCCAGGTGGAAGGGTAGGAGATGCCGATGGAAGAGCAGGACCAAGGGAGGGTCAAAAATTGGCTCCAGGAGAAAAGCTAAGACCAAACGAAGAAATTGGTCCTGACGGGTTAATTAGGTCAAAAACTGGTCCAGGTGGAAGAATAGGAGGTGCCGATGAAAGAGCAGGATTGAGAGGTGCTGAAGCAAGAGAGGGTCAAAAATTGTCTCCAGGGGAAAAGCTACGACCAAATGAAGAAATTGGTCCGGACGGATTAATAAGGCTTAAAACTGGAGTAAGTCCAGGTGAAAGAGTAGGTGTCGGTGGAAGCGCAGGACCAAGGGAGGGTCAAAAATTGGCTCCAGGAGAAAAGCTTAGACCAAATGAAGAAATTGGCCCCGACGGATTAATAAGTTCAAAAACTGGAGTAAGTCCAGGTGGAAGGGTAGGAGATGCTGATGGAAGAGCAGGACCAAGGGAGGGTCAAAAATTGGCTCCAGGAGAAAAGCTAAGACCAAACGAAGAAATTGGTCCTGACGGGTTAATAAGGTCAAAAACTGGTCCAGGTGGAAGAATAGGCGGTGCCGATGAAAGAGCAGGATTGAGAGGTGCTGAAGCAAGAGAGGGTCAAAAATTGTCTCCAGGGGAAAAGCTACGACCAAATGAAGAAATTGGTCCGGACGGATTAATAAGGCTAAAAACTGGAGTTAGTCCAGGTGAAAGAGTAGGTGTCGGTGGAAGCGCAGGAATAAGGGAGGGTCAAAAATTGGCTCCAGGAGAAAAGCTACGACCAAATGAAGAAATTGGTCCAGACGGATTAATAAGGCTAAAAACTGGAGTTAGTCCAGGTGAAAGAATAGGAGGTGCCGATGATAGAGCAGGATTAGACGGTGCTGAAGTAAGACCAAGAGAGGGTAAAAAATTGTCTCCAGGAGAAAAGTTACGACCAAATGAAGAAATTGGTCCGGACGGATTAATAAGGCTAAAAACTGGAGTAAGTCCAGGTGGAAGAGTGGGAGGTGCCGATGAAAGCGCGGGACCAAGAAAGGGTCAAAAATTGTCTCCAGGAGATAAGCTACGACCAAATGAAGAAATTGGTCCCGACGGATTAATAAGGCAAAAAACTGGAGTTAGTCCAGGTGAAAGAAGAGGAGGTGACGATGATAGAGCAGGATTAGAAGGTGCTGAATCAAGATCAAGAGAGGGTCAAAAATTGTCTCCAGGAGAGAAGCTACGACCAAATGAAGAAATTGGTCCTGACGGATTAATAAGGCTAAAAACTGGAAAAGGACTAGGTGAAAGGATAGGAGGTGCCGAGGATAGAGCAGGATCGGGAGGTGCTGAAGCAATACCAAGAGAGGGTAAAAAATTGACCCCAGGAGAAAAGCTACGACCAAATGAAGAAATTGGTCCTGACGGATTAATAAGGGTAAAAACTGGAGTAAGTCCAGGTGGAAGAGTGGGAGGTGCCGATAGGGCAGGACCAAGGGAGGGTCAAACATTGGCACTAGGTGATAAACTTGGACCAGGTGAAGAAATTGGGACAGACGGTTTGATAAAATTAAAATCAGATTATGAAATAGATCCAAATGGAAATATTAGAAAACGAGCTGATAAACCTAGGGTTGGTCAAAGACTTACCCCAGGTGGGAAATTACAACCAGGTGAAGAAATTGGACCGGATGGTTTAATTAGACTTACGTCTGGTTATGAAGTAGATCCGGACGGTGAACTAAAAAAAAAATCTGATAAACCTAGAATAGGCCAAAAATTAGCCCCAGGCGAATCATTAAGGCTGGGTGAAGAAATTGGACCGAAAGGTTTGATAAAGCTAAAGTCAGATTTCGAAATAAGTCCAGATGGAAATATAAGGCAAAAACCGGACGCTAGGTTCGGTAAGGCACTTGCACCAGGAGATAAACTTAAACCTTGGGAGGAATTAGGTCCCGACGGTCTTATTAAACTTTCTTCAGACTACGAAATAGATCCAAATGGAAATGTAAAAAAGAAAGCCGACAAAGCACGCATTGGTCAAAGACTTGCCCCAGGTGAAAAGTTAAAACCAGGTGAAGAAATTGGACCTGATGGTTTAATAAAGTTAAAGTCAGATTTCGAAATAAGTCCAGATGGAAATGTAAGACAACAACCGGACGCTAGATTTGGTAAAGCACTTGCATCAGGAGATAAACTTAAACCTTGGGAGGAATTAGGTCCCGACGGTCTTATTAAACTTTCTTCAGAATACGAAATAGATCCAAATGGAAATGTAAAAAAGAAATCCGACAAACCACGTATTGGTCAAAGACTTGCTCCAGGTGAGAGGTTAAAACCAGGTGAGGAAATTGGACCTGATGGTTTAATAAAGTTAAAGTCAGATTTCGAAATAGGTCCGGATGGAAATATAAGGCAAAAACCGAAAGCTAGGTTCGGTAAAGCACTTGCACCAGGAGAGAAACTTAAACCTTGGGAAAAATTAGGTCCCGACGGTCTTATTAAACTTTCTTCGGACTACGAAATAGATCCAAATGGAAATGTAAAAAAGAAAGCCGACAAACCCCGCATTGGTCAAAGACTTGCCCCAGGGGAGAAGTTAAAACCAGGTGAAGAAATTGGACCTGATGGTTTAATAAAGTTAAAGTCAGATTTCGAAATAGGTCCGGATGGAAATATAAGGCAAAAACCGGACGCTAGATTCGGTAAAGCACTTGCACCAGGAGAGGAACTTAAACCTTGGGAGGAATTAGGTCCCGACGGTCTTATTAAACTTTCTTCGGACTACGAAATAGATCCTAATGGAAATGTAAAAAAGAAATCCGACAAACCACGTATTGGTCAAAGACTTGCTCCAGGTGAGAGGTTAAAACCAGGTGAGGAAATTGGACCTGATGGTTTAATAAAGTTAAAGTCAGATTTCGAAATAGGTCCGGATGGAAATATAAGGCAAAAACCGGACGCTAGATTCGGTAAAGCACTTGCACCAGGAGAGGAACTTAAACCTTGGGAGGAATTAGGTCCCGACGGTCTTATTAAACTTTCTTCGGACTACGAAATAGATCCAAATGGAAATGTAAAAAAGAAATCCGACAAACCACGCATTGGTCAAAGACTTGCCCCAGGGGAGAAGTTAAAACCAGGTGAAGAAATTGGACCTGATGGTTTAATAAAGTTAAAGTCAGATTTTGAAATAGGTCCGGATGGAAATATAAGGCAAAAACCGGACGCTAGATTCGGTAAAGCACTTGCACCAGGAGAGGAACTTAAACCTTGGGAAGAATTAGGTCCCGACGGTCTTATTAAACTTTCTTCAGACTACGAAATAGATTCATATGGAAATGTAAAAAAGAAAGCCTACAAACCACGCATTGGTCAAAGACTTGCTCCAGGTGAGAGGTTAAAACCAGGTGAAGAAATTGGACCTGATGGTTTAATAAAGTTAAAGTCAGATTTTGAAATAGGTCCGGATGGAAATATAAGGCAAAAACCGGACGCTAGATTCGGTAAAGCACTTGCACCAGGAGAGGAACTTAAACCTTGGGAAGAATTAGGTCCCGACGGTCTTATTAAACTATCTTCGGACTACGAAATAGATCCATATGGAAATGTAAAAAAGAAAGCCGACAAACCACGCATTGGTCAAAGACTTGCTCCAGGTGAGAGGTTAAAACCAGGTGAAGAAATTGGACCTGATGGTTTAATAAAGTTAAAGTCAGATTTCGAAATAGGTCCGGATGGAAATATAAGGCAAAAACCGGATGCTAGATTCGGTAAAGCACTTGCACCAGGAGAGGAACTTAAACCTTGGGAAGAATTAGGTCCCGACGGTCTTATTAAACTTTCTTCGGACTACGAAATAGATCCATATGGAAATGTAAAAAAGAAAGCCGACAAACCACGCATTGGTCAAAGACTTGCTCCAGGTGAGAGGTTAAAACCAGGTGAAGAAATTGGACCTGATGGTTTAATAAAGTTAAAGTCAGATTTCGAAATAGGTCCGGATGGAAATATAAGGCAAAAACCGGACGCTAGATTCGGTAAAGCACTTGCACCAGGAGAGGAACTTAAACCTTGGGAAGAATTAGGTCCCGACGGTCTTATTAAACTTTCTTCGGACTACGAAATAGATCCATATGGAAATGTAAAAAAGAAAGCCGACAAACCACGCATTGGTCAAAGACTTGCTCCAGGTCAGAGATTAAAACCAGGTGAAGAAATTGGACCTGATGGTTTAATAAAGTTAAAGTCAGATTTCGAAATAGGTCCGGATGGAAATATAAGGCAAAAACCGGACGCAAGGTTCGGTAAAGCACTTGCACCAGGAGATAAACTTAAACCTTGGGAAAAATTAGGTCCCGACGGTCTTATTAAACTTTCTTCGGACTACGAAATAGATCCAGATGGAAATGTAAAAAAGAAATCCGACAAACCACGCATTGGTCAAAGACTTGCACCGGGTGAAAAACTCAGACCCGGTGAGGAAATCGGCCCTGATGGTTTAATAAGACTTATGTCGGGTGTGAAACTGGATGATGATGGAAGAATAATATTTCCCGACGAAGCGCCAAGAATTGGCCAAAAACTCGGTCCGGGTGAAAAATTGAGACCTGGCGAAGAAATCGGACCCGATGGACTAATAAGGTTAATGTCGGGTCTTGAAATAGGCCCAAATGGTAAAATAAGATACAAAATTCCTGGTGAACCTCGAGAAAACATATGTGGATCAGGAATTTGTTCTCCGTATGGTCGTGTTAAACCCTTCGGAAAAGATTTTGATAACATAAGAGTTGGTCAAAAACTAGAACCAGGTGAAAAACTAAGACCTGGGGAAGAAATTGGGCCTGATGGTCTTATAATATTATCTTCAGATTTGGAAATTGACCCGGATGGAAAAATAAAGTTTAAGAAGGGGAGAGGTCCTAGAAAACCCGTTTGTAGTTCTGGAGTTTGTTCCGATGGTCTACCAGCGCCAAAATCTTGGACGGGCCGAGATCAGCCAAGAATAGGTCAAAAGCTAGCGCCAGGGGATGAATTAAGAGATAATGAAGAAATAGAACCAATAAGGGACAATATATTGGGACCTGATAAAATATTAAAACCTGGGGAAAAGTTCAGGCCTGGAGGGGTTGGACCAGATTTAGCCAGAAAAGCACCTCATGGTAAAACTTGCGCTGCAAATGTTCCTCAGCCAGATGATGCCCAACGAGCAAAAGAAATAAGAGTAGGTCAAAGACTAGATCCAGGGGATAGTTTACGACCAGGAGAAGAAATTGATGAAAACGGTTTAATAAGATTGACACCAGGTACGCAATTAAAAGATGAACCTAGTATAAGTCAAAGACCAAGTATTGACATTTCCCTCCTTCCATCCACAAGATACAACAGATTAAGAGTAGGTCAAAGACTAAAAACAGGGGATAGTTTACGACCAGGAGAAGAAATTGATGAAAACGGTTTAATAAGATTGACACCAGGTGAGCAATTAAAAGATGAACCTAGTATAAGTCAAAGACCAAGTATTGACATTTCCCTCCTCCCATCCACAAGATACAGCAGATTAAGAGTAGGTCAAAGACTAAAGACAGGGGATAGTTTACGACCTGGAGAAGAACTTGATGAAAACGGTTTAATAAGATTGACACCAGGTGAGCAATTAAAAGATGAACCTAGTATAAGTCAAAGACCCAGTATTGACATTTCCCTGCTCCCATCCACAAGATACAGCAGATTAAGAGTAGGTCAAAGACTAAAAACAGGGGATAGTTTACGACCTGGAGAAGAACTTGATGAAAACGGATTAATAAGATTGGCACCAGGTGAACAATTAAATGACGATATTCCTTGCTCTTGTGCAAAAAGCAGATATGGCGAATGGACACCTAGCCAAATACTTAAACCTCGTATAAGTCATCGACCAAGTATAGACATTCCCCTACCCTCTTCAACAAGATACAGCAGATTAAGACTAGGTCAAAGACTAAATCCAGGTGAAAGGTTACGACCTGGCGAAAAGCTTGGCCCAGATGGTTTAATAGTACTGGCGTTTGAAGAGAACATTACAGACGATGATCAAACTTCCATAGCAGGAAGACCTGGAGGTGAGGTTTTAAAAAGAAAAGATGAAGTTCCTGTGTCAGACACCCAACCTTGCTTTTGCTCCGCCAGAAAAATACGCGTGGGTCAAAGACTAGGACCAGCTGACAGTTTACGGCGTGGAGAAGAAATTGGTTCGGATGGTTTAATAAGACCAGCCCCAGACGAGCAATTAAAGGAAGATATTCCTTTGCTAAGCGATACCTTCACAGCAACTGATAATAGATTAAGACCGGGTGAAACACTAAAACCTGGTGATACATTAAGACCAGGGGAAAAATTAGGACCTGATGGAATAATTCGAACAATGTCTGGAGTGGAAATTGATAAAGATAATAAAATATCAGATTTTCCATTGGAAAAATATGGTAGTCTTGAATACGATTTTAGCTTGGTTACTGAAAAGATGGAAAATTTAAGTAAAGTGTGTCCTTTTACTTGTCCTAGTGAAGAAGATTTAAACAATAAAGTTTCACGTTTTAATAAGAAACAAGTTTCTTCAGCTGTAAACACAGCTTTAAAAAATGTTTCGACGGATAAATACCCCTCATTTCAAACCTTACCATCCAAAAAGAAAAAAAAGGATGACAAAACAAAAGTACGGGAAGGAACTATGCCAAAAGAAATACTTTCCGCTATAGTCTATCAAGCTCAAGAGCGAGCTTCGCAACTGGCTGTAGCTACGGGTGGCATAGTTATTAAGCCATTAAAAAATATTCCATGTTCTTGCCAACAACATCCATCAACGTCAAAAGATAATGCACCAATTGGAGGAATTCTTCACAGAAGAGAATTAACGCCTTCCAAATTCTTGCAGGGCTTGCCTATGGTTCTGGCTAGTCCTGAAAATATTGTTCGGAAAAAGACCAAAAGAAAAAGTACTCTTCCAGCGGGTAGAATTACAGACGAAACATCAAAGCCTTGTAATAGTATAGAGTGCGAATGCCTTAAGCATAAATATGATTACAAAGACAAGATTATCGAGGACTTGAGAAATGAACTTAAGGTTAGTACATCAAATTTTGTCAGTTTAAAAGAAAATGTCAAAATGACAAGTTTTTATGATCCTAGTTATGTGAGTTTTATTCAAAATTCTATGATTATATTACAATTGTATTGTGTTTTTGTAGGCCAGAGAGGCATACGCAGCAGAACAATGCAGAATAACAGCGGAAACTATTGGACAACTTAACAACATCAAAAGCGTGGTCGTGGAGCGCAACGAACTGCGTAGAAAATTAACAGAGTCACAAAATGAACTAAAGAACATAAGACAAACTGTACCAGAAGAAAGAGTACCGACAGGAGACGTGCCAATATACATTCCCTTTGGCGCAGAGCGCCCCACCAACGATAACGACATTCAGATGCTTGAAAATGAAATTCAACAGATGAGGAGCACCAACCCGAGACCGGAAGTCGAGGCTGAAATAATGCGGAAAGAATTGCAAGTGCTGAAGAAGTATTGCGCCCGAATGTCAACCGTTCAAACAGAAAATCAAAGGCTAAACAGGGACATGGCGAACATGGCAACGCAATTGGGAACGGCCACGCAAATGTTGAATGAGCTGGGCGTATCGGACGTTAATAACATTGAACAATACGGGGCCTTGCAAGCAAAGATGAGTAAGTTACAAAAGACCACGCATGATAAGAACGTGCTTAAATGTAAGTGCCGTTCGTTGGAGAAGGAATTACACTCTTACAGAGAGGAACTATCGACCTTGGAAGACGTTAAACCAAAAATTGAGTTATTAGATGAGGTAATGGCAGACAGAGATCGCCTAAGCAGACGCGTAGAAGAGCTAAGGGGTATAGACGCCGAATTGGCGGCCTTAAAACAAAACTATTCGAGATTTAGGGAGGTGGAAAGCGAACTTTGCTATGCCAAACATCAAAAGAAGGTATATGAGCACGAAATAGCAACCTTGAGAAACGATTTGCTAGCAAGAGAGGCGGAAATAAACATGTATAAAATTCACGACGCGGATATGTGCAGTAATATTAATAATTTGGCACAAGAAAAAGAAAGCCTAAAAATTCTTGTCAAGCAAGCTGAAATACTCAGCATCGAAAAGCACCAATTAATGCAAAGTGTGGACGAACTGTCAAGAATTAATAACGATTACGATGATATGTGTTCGAGGATGAAGTGTCTGGAATCTATTAAAATCGAAAGGGACATGTATAGATCAAGAGTTCAAGATCTGGAAGCCTTACAAGGCGACCATGATCAAGTGCGCCAAAAAATCGAAGATTTGAATCGGGTTGAACAAGAACGTAATTGCCTGATGGACCAGGTATCTCAAATGGAAGCCACCATAACATTACAAGAGTGCGAAATAAAAAGGCTGGTGTGTCATATCGATAACTTCTCGAAATCGCAATGCGAGAAACAGAAACGCCTCAATGAAAGTTTGACGTCCATGAAAAGCGAACTGGATAGAAAGGACAAGAAAATTTCCAAGCTTCAAAATACGGTTAGCGACATATCCAGTCAACTGGATATATTTAGGAAAAAAGACAGTCAAAGCGAGGATTGCGAGGTGGAGTTGTTTACAATGCAGGAGCAATGCAAATGCCGCGAAAAAGAATTGACTGAAATCAATAAAGTTTGTAAATGTCTTAAGGAAGAATTGGAAATCACCAAAAATAAGTGTAAGTGTCTACAGAAAGAATTGGGTACGGTGCAAAAAAGATGCAGTGAGATGGATACTGCGAGTTCCGATGAAATTTTGGAAAGGCAAGCCGATATGGGAAAAAATATATGCAAGGAGCTGCAAGCTCAAAATTTCAAACTTGCTTGTCAGCTTGAACAAGCCAATACAACCGTTGAAGAACACGAAGCTGTAATTAATTGTCTGCAAGCTAACTTGAAACAAAGAGACAACATTATAAAGAGTTTGGATAAGGAGATGAATAAGGCTAAGGATCTTTATGATTGTGGTTGCGATTGTATACTCGTTATCAGGGAAGAGTTGGACATGCTCAAGGGGGAAAATAAAAGGTTGCAGGAATCAGCAAATATACAGGATGTAGAGCAGTGCAATAACTACATTCAAATGTTAAAGGAAGCCAAAAATGCTGTGGAGAAAATATCCGAAGCACTCGATAAAAAATGCCAACACAACAAGAGAAGTGAAGATAAGTGTTCAGCAAATAAGAGCAAGCAAGTTAAGGCAAAGTCTTCGTGTAATAGAAGAAAAAAATGCGACACCAGCTCGTCGGAAACCGAGTCTACTGAATGTTCGGGATCAGGCGATAGCTGCAGCTGCAACAGTTCCTGCATTTGTTGCATATGCGATGATCGGCAGAAAGGAAAAATCTGCAAGTGCTGTAAGTGTGGCGAGAGTAGCACGGAAACTGACGAATGCAGTGTCACGGCTGCCACAACTTCAGATACGTTCATGTGCACTAGTTCCACAAGTGTAGCCAATAAGGTTGATAATGTATGTCAGTGCGATAAATCTAAGAAAACTGAAGAAAAGTGTTGTCAGTGTAGTCAAGAAACCACCACCACTACCACATGTACGACTACTCAAACCACCAAAACTTCTTCTACCACCGAAGAAGACACTTGTCGTTGCAGTAAGGATGGAGATGATCCTGAAAAGACTACCACAAGTGACTCATGCACTGATACCACAGAGGATAAAAAGAAAAAAGATAACGCAGATACGTGTAAATGCACGAAACCATTCGAAAAGAAATCAGATACCTCCACGTCTGATAGCTGCCCCGATGACAAAAAACCGCCATGTGTTGGAGAGCAGGATAAGTCTCCACCGACAAGATTTGTTGATGATCAAAGTAAAAACAAAAGAAAATCTTCCGGGAAAGGTGAAAAAGGGCCACAAGACAACGTCACATTTAAGTGCGATTGCGGAAATCCTGAAAATTGTACTTGCCGTAAAAATGATAACGTTAAGAGCGTCACTGAAGAAGAAATATTCATTCAAGAAGTTAAACCAGTCTCCACAGCAAATATTGAAGAAGGTGAAGTCCCAGAAACTAGTATATTTCAAAGAGCAGTACCTTTAAGCGATTCAGTACCAGAACAGGAGTTGAAGAGCACCAACCTAGATGAAGCCCAAATCCCTAAGAGTGAAACAAATCCAGAAGTTCCGGAAGCGATACCTTTAAGCGATTCAGTACCAGAACAAGAGTTAAAAAGCACAAACCTAGACGAACCACAAACTCCCAAAGTTGAAATGAGAATGAACCCAGAGGCTATGAAACCTGAGGAAAGACCTAAAGTATCTGAAAGGCCAGAAAAAAGTGATCAAACAGAAGAGCATTGTAAAGAAGAACGTGAAAAAATAAAAAATTTGGAAAATGAGTTGACTTCACTAAAGGCACAACTAAAAGAGGCGAAAGCATCCAAAGAACAAATAGGTGACGTGGAAGAATACAAAATGAAAATTGAAGAACTACAAAAAGAAAACGATAAATTGCGATCTCAAGGTGATGCTAGCGTTTTCTTGGAAGAAAACGAACATCTCCAAAAACAAATACTAAAACTAAATCGACATATTGAAAGTATGCAACCTCTTGACGCAGTTCCACAATCAGATGACGAAACCTTGCAAGAAGAAGTAGCTAAGCAGAAAAAAGAAAAATTGGTTCTAGAAGCTGTAATCGAAGATTTACAAAAACAACTTAAAACATCAGATAATATACCTTATATAGAACCTGGCGATGACATACAGCAAGTAATCGATGATCTAGCGAAAAAACTTGATGCCGAGCAGAAAAGGGCGGATGGGGCTGAAGCAGCCTACCGAAAACTTCGAGCCGGAGATGATAAAATTTTACTGAGCAATGAAAATGCCAAACTTAAGAGCGCTGTCAACGAGGGTAGATGCACTTGTGCTAAATTAAAGAACGAAATCGACAAACTGCAGAAAGAAAAAGATGAGTGCAAGAAGGAAAATGAATCGGCTCGAAAACTTATTGAACAACTTCAAGGGGAAGTTTGTAAATGTAGAGAGCTTAATAAGAATTTAGCCGATCAAAATAATAGAGTCAAAGAGAGGCTATCTGATGAAGGAAAAACTTGCAAGTTTGTTAAACAATTGAAGGATGAAATCGCAAAGCTTAAAAAAGAACTGGAGAGATGCCTCGAAGAGAAAAAACATATGAAGGAGGATATCGAAAAAGTCGACAAATTTTCTCAAAAGTCGATGGATAAAATATCGAGCTTGCAAAAAGAAAACAGCCAATTAAAACAAAATAATGCCAAGCTGGATAATTCCAATGTGACGCTAAAAAAAGACAAGGAATCTGAGACAGACCAGCATCGTAAATCGGTGTTAAGTTTGGGTCAGTTGGAAAGAGATTACGATAAGTGCCAAAATAAAGTTAAAGATTTGGAAGCCGAAATAGCACGGTTGAAAAAAGAGCTAGATAATGCTCTGAACACGACAACAACGAGCTCAAGAGACTTGACAGATTCATTGTCGGAAAATGCTGCTCTTAAGAAAAAAATAGCAGAGCTGGAAAGCGAACTAGAAAAGTGCAGGAAAAACTTAGAAAATACATTGGCTTCTGCCAATGATAATAAGCTTCAAGACGAAAATGATAAGTTGAGAGCTGAACTTGAAAGATTAAAAGCCCTTGCTCAAGTGTCAAAGGACTTGCAAAAATCGTTGGACAGTCTTTCTAAACAAAAAGACGACGAAGGGGCCTTAAAACAAAAATTGGCACAGATGGAAGGTGAAAATAGTAAATTAAAGAAAGATTTGAACTCCTCGCTCGATCAACTAAAAACACTTGCGAACGCAGCCCCAGATGATGTAAAAACCAGAAGCAAAAATGCTCTTTTGGAGGCAGAAAACGCTGATTTAAAGATGAATTTGAATGATGCTTTGGATAAAGCTAAAGCTGCAGCTGGAAGGGTGGCAGAGTTGGAAGCTGAAGATGCCAGGAACAAGCAAAAGATTGGGGCGTTGGAAAGCGATTTGGCCAAGATGAAGAAAGAGTTGGAAGATGCTTTGGATAAACAAAACAAGTGCATCGAAGAGTTGAACAACTTAAAGGATGAATTGGGCAAGTTAAAGCAACGATTGGCCCAATTGGAAAAGGAGAATGTCGACTTGAAGACCAAACTGGACGGCGCCAGTTTAAGATCGAAATCTTTTTTGGACAATTTAGCCGAATTGGACAGACTAAAGCAGTTATTGGCGCAGATGGAGGCTGAAAATAAGAAATTGAAAGGGGATCTACAAGCGGCTGCAGGTTACGAAGACATGATTAAACAGCTACAAGATAAGATACAAGCAATGGAGAACAAAACCTTAGTTGTTCCAGATGATGAGTGCGACAAACTTCGCGCAACATTGGCGCAACTGCAAGCAGAAAATGCAAAGTTAAAAAGCGATTTGGATAAAGCAAATGGCGATATTAATGCCTTAAACGACCACGTTAAGGCACTGGAACAGGCAATAAAAGCCGCCGGTGACAGGCCCGACGACTCAGATCTTATAAATAGGCTGAAAGATGAGATAGCAAATCTAAAATCAAAGTTAGCGCAATTGGAAAGTGCAAATGTTGCACTCAAAGCAGACCTGGATAAGGCAAATGCATCCGCTAATAGTTGTAAAGATGAAAATGCAAAACTATTGGAAAAGTTGAAACAATTAGAATCGGCACCGCCAAAAAGTTCCGAGGACTGTGATAAGTTGAGGGAAAAATTGGCTCAACTGGAAAAAGACAACGCCGACTTGAAAAAAGATTTGAATAGCGCATTGGACGAAGCAAGGAAGAATGCGGCTGCGGCTGGAGACGCGGCAAGTTTTAACCAAAAATTGGGATCTCTGGAGGCCGAAAACGCAAAGTTGAAAAAAGATTTGGAGGATGCGTTGAACAAAGCCAAAGCTATGGATGCTTTAAGCCAAGAAAATGGCAATCTCAAGAAGAAAATAGGCGACTTGGAGGCAGAATTGGCACGACTCAGAGCCGAGTTAAACGCGGCTCTGGATGCGACCAAGAGAGCTGCTAAAGACGAGGGTTCGGCTAGGGACGACGACGCCAATTTAAAGAAACAGCTGGCCGATTTGCAGGCGGAAATCGCAAGGCTTAAAAAGGAGTTGGAGTCGAGCAAAGGCGATGTTAAAGAAGGAAGTCAAGCGTTGGATTTGTTGAAAAAAGAAAACGATCAGTTGAAGTTGAGAATAAACCAATTAGAGGCTGAGATTGAGAGGCTTAAGAAGGAGCAAGGGGCTGGTGACGCTGCGATGGCGAGATTATCCGAGTTGGATAATAACTTAAACAAGTGTAAGGGAGAGTTGGATAGCGCGAGGGCCGCTGAAGCCAAATTAAAGGAGGAAAATGCTAAACTAAATAGTAAATTAGCGGAGTTGGAAGCTTTGTTGGCAAATCTTAGGAAACAACTGGCCAAGGCTGAAGAAGATGCCAAGGCGGCAAACGCTTTAAAAGACGAATTGGAAAAGGCCAAACAAAGATTGGCAGGTTTAGAATCATCGGACGATAAAAATAAGTTGCAAAAACTAAACGATGATTTACAAAAAGAACTGGATAGGTTAAAGAAGGAACTTCAAGAAGCCCTGGATAAAACCAGAGGTAGTAAGGCTGAAATAACTAAACTAAAGGACGATGATGGGAAAAAACAACAAAGGCTTGCTCAAATGGAAATGGAGAATGTACAATTAAAAGAAGATTTGGATAAGCTAAACAAAACTTTATCAGCCATGAAAGGTGAGAATGACAAGCTTAAATCAGATTTGGACGAAGCTTTAAAGAAATTGGCAGCTTTAAGTTCCTTGCAAGATGAGAATAGCAAATTGCAAAAAGAACTGCAGAACGCACAAGATAACTTGGATGCTTTGAGGAAAGAAAATGAAGCAATGAAACAAAAAATTGCCCAACTGGAGAAAGAATTGGCCGACCTTTTGAAGAAATTGGACGGTCTTAAAGCGCTGGAAGATGATCTATCAAAACTAAAACAACAATTAGCTGATAGTAAAAATGAAACGGATAAAACGAAAAACGACTACGAGAACAGAATAAAGCAACTTATGGATGAGCTTGCAAAGCTTAAAAAGGAATGTGCCGACAACATCGCCAATCTGAAGGAACAATTCGAGAGGGATGCAGAAAATTTGCGGAATTTGAATGCTGGAAGCATAAATAAGTTGCAAAAGGCACAAGATGATACTTGTAAAGAGATGGCTGATAACTACGAAAAAGAAATTAAGGATTTGCAAGACGAATTAAAGAGGTTGCAAGCTCTTTTAAACGCCGTAACCGCCGAAAGGGATAAATTGCAGGGCAACGTGGATAATCAAAGGAAAAAGAGTTTGGAAATCAAGAAAAAGGTTGAAGAAGTGGAGGTAGTTATGAAGAACGAAAGAGTCAAGAGTAATGAATTGCAGAAAACCATCCAGGACGAGCGAAGGAAGAGCTTGGATTTGATCGATGTTTTGGATAAAGAGAAGAAGGGTAAACGTGAGTTGGAACTGAAAAATAAAGAGGAAGAAAGAAAGAATGAGTTGCTGAAGGATAAGTATGGTGTGGAACGAAAGAAGAGCGTGGAGTTGGAAAAGAAAGTCGCGGATAGTATGTTGAAATTGAAGACTTTGGAAAAGGACAATGAAAAGCTAAAAACCATACAGGAAGAGGTAAGACCAAAACCAGCTGAAAAAGTTGTATGTGCGATTATTTTCCTAATTTATGTTTTATAGGCTTCAAAAGTAGAATCTGCAGCTCCCCCTGATGTTATAACAATTACAGTCCCTCCTTCTCGCGTTGATATGTTTAATGATGATATTTGCGCGTGTCCAACAAATCTTACTCAAATATTAAAGACGATTGCAAGAGAAGGGATGCAGGTAATATAATAGTTAATAAACAGTAAAAATGTCAAAATATTGCTTTTAGGCGTTAACTTTGCAACAATTGGAAGTGCTGGGCGATAAAATTAAAGCGGCTACAATTGGGCTATTGGGCTCCAATAGATCTGAACACGACATCTACAATTCAAACCAGCAAGTTTCTGATGCTGAAAGAGAGGCTAAAAATAGAGTCGATGATCTTTATGGTTTAATAAAAACGGAAAAAGAAAAGTTAAGTATTTTGAAAAGGATATTGTATAAGGAGTCTAAGAAAAATGAGGATTTATTGGAAAAACTTAGTGATAAAACTAAAGCGTTACATGATGTTAAAAAGCAAAATGAAATTATACAGGAAGAGAGTTTCATGAACAGAGATAAATATTTAAAGATGGAGTAAGAAAGTAATTAATTAAGTATTTTATATTATTTTGTATAACTACAGGCAACATTTCGAAAAAGAGATTGAAAAGAGGAACAAAAAGATATTACAGCTGTACAGTATGTTTGAAAAAGAAAAAGAAAGACAGTTAAACCAAATTCTGCCAGAAGCGATGGAGGTTTTTATTTGGAAAGTAATAAAGAATTAAAATTAAATATTTATTTTTTAGACCTCAAGAAGTTTTGCAGCTGAAACTACTCAATCAAGACGAAGTGACTCTCCGAGTAGAAGAAGTGACTCTTCAAGTAGAAGAAGTGACTCTCCTAAAAGACCACAGACTTCTAGATTGGCATGTGCGAAGACCTGCACTGGTATAACAATAAAAGTAAGTTAACATAATTATCTGGCAACAAATAAAAATATTTTTTTTTCAGAAAAAAAAGTAAAGTTCATGATTATTTATTATTTTGTGTTGTCTATATTGAACATCAAGCCTATGGTATTAAAAATACATCATTATGTTGTACAAATTCTATTTGAAAATATAAAATATTTGGACTAAAACGATTTTTAATTTATAAATATTAGAACCATGTTACATATCACAGCGACAATATTTTTTTCTACTCCCATTACGGAAAACGACCTTAAAGTGTTTCAGAATGAATTATTCTATCATCGGTGGCGCCATCTCTGTGTTTTTTATCTAACAACTTTTAGACCCTTCCAACCATAGATAACAAAGCCTTTTATCATCGTAACAAAAGTAAAACTTTTAATAATCAGCTTTCAAACGCTTAGGTTACAAACGAGTGTTTTTGAGCATAAAGCCGGATAAAAAATATCGAAAAAAAAAACCGCGGATCGATTTGTTGTGTTGTTGGGTTTATTTCGAGAGGAAATCCTGGGTTGAGTTTTAACCGGTTTTCCAATAAACAGTGTTAATCTGAATGAAGAAATAAATTGCATAGTCTCTGTAAATATAAATTGTACTTGTTAGATACAATAAATACACATTTTAGTAGTGATTAACGTGAAAAGTGTAAACATTACAATTCAATAAAAATCGTCAAACAAATAAGTCGTCTAAATTTACACAGCATTTAACATTATTAAAAGCGTTGATTAAGAATTCTTTAAAGTCTCCACTCAACGGTAAAATACCATTATATTATGTATTACCTATATATACAGTATGTCTCAGTATCTTGGAATCATATGGAAACTTTTTTATTATTAATTTTAGGAAAAAAAGTTATTCTTTATAAAAAGTTCTGCATGGTGTAAAACTTAAAATGCAACTCACAAATATTATTTTTTTTTAGTCGTATACGGGGTATGTCAAAAAATATGAATTTGGCTCAAGAGTAAAGTACCTTTATATTTGACAATATCGAAAATTGTTGTAAAGAACTAAAAACTACGTTCAAATATGCAATTACATCCATTAGTAAATTTACATTAAAAAAAATATTTTTTCTTTTTTGTCTACAATATCAATGCAAATTTAACTGTAACATGTAATCTAGGATTCACTGATAAACAAATGATTTGTTGATATTCTAAAACTTTTTGGCCTGCTAGATCCCCTGACTTAACTTAAGGTTTTCATGTTTTTTGTAATCATAACAGATAAATGTTCATTTAAAATAGAAAGATTAGTAAAAATTAACAAAACCTAATTTTTTAATGTAAATGTATGAAATTGCATATTTAAACGTAGTTTTTAGTTCTGATTAACTTTTCTTTATAACAATTTTTGATATTGTCAAATATAAAGGTACTTTACTCTTGCGCCAAATTCATATTTTTTGACATACCTCGTATACGACTAAAAAAAATTAATATTTGTGGGTTGAATTTTAAGTTTTACACCATGCAGAACTTTTTATGAAGAATAACTTTTTTTCCTAAAATTAATAATAAAAAAGTTTTCCATATGATTCCAAGATACTGAGACATACTGTATATGTTGCCATGAATTCGTAGGTATATTTTGTTGTTCATTTTAAGGTTATTTTATGTAAAAATTATTTTTTACTAATTTCTTAAAAATGTAAAATATAAATTATATTATAATATAATACCTATAGGTAAAGTTATCATTAGTTAATTCTGCACCAACAAATGTACTTACCGAATTGGATCCTGTGGCAAAACATGAAAATGCAACGATTTAGTTCTTGAATTTTATTTACAATTAAAAACACAATAATTCACCATGATCCCTTTGATAAAATACACACACTAACGAAACTATATGGGGTATTCCATACCAAATCGACCACTTTTGAACCCGACCCCTTTAGATTTTGCTGAAACTTTTCCATCCTTTTCTACCCTTTAAAAAACATTTTTGAAAATTTTTTCAAATTTTTTTGTCCAACCTCAAAAAAGTTATGAATTTTTTAAAAAAATCTCTTTTTTATTTTCAAATAGCCATAACTTTTTTAAAAAACATTTTTGAAAATTTTTTCAAATTTTTTTGTCCAACCTCAAAAAAGTTATGAATTTTTTAAAAAAATCTCTTTTTTATTTTCAAATAGCCATAACTTTTTTAGAAATTGACTTTTGGGTACCTTTTTTTTTAATTTTTGTTTTTGAATGAACTTTTCAAAAAAATACACGAAAAAATACACGAAAAAAATTTAACATGATCAATTATATAAAATAATCGTTTTTTTTTAGTAAATTCGTCATTTTTTCGAAGTTCGCCATTTTTTTTTTGTTTTTTTTTCTCAAAAAAAAACTTCAATTAATTTGAACTATCCCCGCTAATCCCGGAGTGGGCCGATTTTTTTTGTATTTTTTTTATTTATTTAAAAAAAAATTGTCGAATTTTCAAAAATGGAAAAAAAATATTATACGTTAAAAAAATTTAAAAAAAATCGGCCCACTCCGGGATTAGCGGGGATAGTTGTCAAATTAATTGAAGTTTTTTTTGAGGAAAAAAAAACAAAAAAAAATGGCGAACTTCGAAAAAATGACGATTTTACTAAAAAAAAACACGATTATTTTATATAATTGATCATGTTAAATTTTTTTCGTGTATTTTTTCGTGTATTTTTTTGAAAAGTTCATTCAAAAACAAAAATTAAAAAAAAGGTACCCAAAAGTCAATTTCTAAAAAAGTTATGGCTATTTGAAAATAAAAAAGCCATTTTTTTTAAAAATTCATAACTTTTTTGAGGTTGGACAAAAAAATTTGAAAAAATTTTCAAAAATGTTTTTCAAAGGGTAGAAAAGGATGGAAAAGTTTCAGCAAAATCTAAAGGGGTCGGGTTCAAAAGTGGTCGATTTGGTATGGAATACCCCATATATAAGCATTTAAGCGTTGAGTTTCTTAATCAATGATATAAGGAATAATCAATCGAAATCGAGTAATAAAAAAGTTTTTTAATTTTTTCCTTGCAACGTAAAACACAAATAACGTGCGCGATTTAGCTGTGCAATTGAACAAAATTTGTCGAGTAAGACTTCTGCCTTCCTCTCTTTTGTAAAAAAACTACCTATTTATTTAAAAATGATGTATAATCGGTGCTTTAAATTTATTGTTGACAATTCTTAAATTCACGCAATGCATTCGAAGTGCACCAGATGGCGAGCGCGTTGCGAAAACCCGATACTTCCCAGGTAGCACACTGACGTCTGCTGACGTTTATATGACGTTGAAATGACGTTGCTAACGTCATTTAAACGTCAGAAGACGTCATATAAAAGTCAGAAAACGTCAGTGTGCTACCTGGGTTCTTTATAATCTGTGACTTCTTTAGCCTATTCCAAACTTGTTACAGAGTACTATTTTAATCACTAAAGAATTTGTACATTTCCTATACCTCTTTAATTGAGAAAGTTGATGTCTTAAACTGGAAAATATTGATATATTTGTCTTCGAATCTGTGGTTATGGTAATATTACACAAAATTGTACTAAATTCTTTAATATATGTATACAAAAATCTTACTAAAATAAGAGCAGCACAAACCCAAAGCACAAAAATTGTAAACAACATAAAAATGGCCGCCGTTAAAGTCTGTGCAGTGGGTTGCCCAACTTCGTGAAGTTTAGTATGCGTGAAACGAGATATATCAGACCACAATCCACACAACAAGGGCCATAACCCAAAGATTATAATCAAAATATTATTATCCAAAGATAATACATTATCTTTGCTATAACCTACAAATTAACCTTAAAATTGAAATTTGACAGCTTGATGACAGCCCTGATAGAATAGGGTGTATTTTTTACAAAAGAGGAGTAAAATGGTTGCCCTTAGCACGTTAAGGCCTCATTTGAATCTTACAAGTGCCTCTGTAAGAAACACAACGTTTAAAAAGATAATTAATCTGTATAAACCACAGTCTGTGGTATAAACAGTACAAACCCAAAGCACAAAAATTGTAAACTACAAAAAAAATGGCTGCCGTTCGAGTCTGCACGTGCAGTATTGTAGTGATTGTGATGCGCAGTAAGTCAATGGGTAAAGTGCTGCCATCTTTTGTCGCGTACTTGATGACAATTTTAGGTCTTAAAACGTCACTCAAAATTTAAAATGCTCAATGATTCTGATTCCGGGGATTTGAGTTCTAGTAGCACGGGTAGTACGTTTGAAACTCAATTATTTCAATGTGTTGCTTATATTACACACTCATGTGAGTATTTTATAATGATAATTATGTTAATTTCACTAATGAATTTAAGGCCCTCTGCTGCAAAAAATGTTTTTACAATGGGTCGACTTGACCAAGGATCAAAAGATACTTTTAAATATGATTTTAAATAAGGTTGTTCCCCCTGATACTGCTGAGCTTTATACACCAGTTTTAAATGGTTTTATTTATTGGAATGTTGTACAAGATACTGAAGGTTGCTCATTTTTAAACAGTACAGCATCCCTGAGTTCAGATTTTTTTTCAGTTTACCTCGCGTGATTTCTTATGCATTTTGTGTATCACCTAAACTTATAGCCTAAGAAAGAACTTAAGCATTATGATTTAAGCTCAATTATACCTTCTCGCTCATTTGATCACATATATGAACTCAGGATTGTGCGGGAACATTATTGTATTTCAGAAACTTTTTCAGGTGCCTGTGGTTATCACGATAACCCCCTTCATTTTAAAATAAGTGCACGCGATGAAACCAAAATTTTTGCAATTTTTTTATCCTTACAATATGTAATTCATACAGTTATTACTAAACAAGAGTTGGGGCAAGAAATTGTGAATTTTAATAGAAACGTGCTTAGAAAAGTAACCATTTACTCACCTGGTGGTTGCGGAGATAATAAGTAGATAGCTTTTATTTTTTGTATATTTTTTAAATAAAATCAACTTTAAAATATAGTTTTTTTAATATTAATACATTTAAACATGGAGTACTTAATATATTAAAAAGTAAACAAAACAATCTGGCTTAAAAAATAAAAAAAGCAACAAGTTCAGTTAAATAAAGTGAAATTTTTTTAATGTATGCGATTTTTCTTTTTTTTTAGGGCTCTCATCTTCATCTTGAAAATTCAGCATGTTAACTGAAATTCCTTGAGTATCATTTGCCCCGTTTGCTATAAAATCAGCTGTACTAATTATTCTTCTTTGGGGTCTCTTTGGAAGCACCTAAAAAGAAAATTTCAAGGAATGGATATTAACAACGTGTTCTAAAATATATTTATTTTTCTTTTCCTATTGCATCTTATTGACAATATAATTCATTAATATTAGAACCAATAAAATGCCAGTATTCCATAGTGACGTATTTTATCACAGCGGCAATAATTTTTAGGGTCAGTCCATGTCAACTCAACACACCCATTTTACCACACCACCTCAGATTTTCTTAAAATTTGATATACTTATACTATATACTAAGACTAAGAAAAATACCAATTTTTAAATTTTTATCTCACACCGTTTCCGATATATGGCTATGTAAAGTTTTTAAAAACTCGCGAAAAAAGTGTCAACGTGTATTTTTTAAATTGCTCTGGAAGCTGTCCTAATTCAGCTAGAACGCTGGGAGAGGTGTCATTTTGCAGCATTTTAAATGCTCTTTTAAATGACATACGAACGCCAAGGGTATTAATGAAAAGATTTTGTTCAAAATCCATATATATATATTGATTAAATTTTTTTTCAAAAAGTACATAATTTAAAATTCTCAAAATATTTGTATAAATACTTAGTACTGTTTTAAACCATATAGTAAAATATAAATGTGGGGTCTTAATGGGTTCATGTTAAAAAAAAATATTTGTGATGCTGGTTTTTCACTTAACTAATTTTGACAGTTTCGTTACATCTTTCCTGCAGGTATGACAAATCATGGAGCCAATAGGCATTTGTGGAAATAATCCAGTCATCCATGCTGGGACTTTTCTCAGTTTTTTTCTGTCTCTAATAAAATGATTTGTTTTTTTCATTGGATTATAACACTGCACTATTACAATAGTAGGCTCCATGTTGACACCAAAATCACTTTAAACACACCTCATTTATAGTTTTATTTTTAAATAAACTACGAATATATACAGGGTCCGATAAAAGTTCCCTAAATTTTTTTTTAAGCGAGTTTAAAATTTATCAATAAGGTTTTCGCGGAAATTGTTTGCTCGAGCAGGTTCCTAGAACCCATTCAATTCTGAAAATATTCATTTTATGTTGTTCTGTTTAAAATTTAGTTCAATATGAATCGCCAAAAAAAGCGTATCACAGTAATTGAATTAAAAAAGTCGGGAATGTAGGCAGCCGATATTATTAGGGTTCTTAGAACCCTTATATTTTTGAAAATATTCATTTTATGTTGTTTTGTTTAAAATTTAGTTCAATATGAATCGCCAAAACAAGCGTATCACAGTAATTAAATTACACAAGTCGGGAATGATGACAGCCGATATTATAAAAAAAATACAATTGTCAGGCTTAAGCCTGATAAACGTTGAATAATGTCAAAATTAGTTAAAAGTGAAAAACCAGCATCAGAAATATTTTTTTTAACAATGAACCCATTAAGACCCCACATTAATATTTTATTATATGATTCAGAACACTACCAAGTATTTATACAAATATTTTTAGAATTTTAAATTATGTACTTTTAAAAAAAAATTAAATCAAAATATATATATGGATTTTGAACAAAATCTTTTCATTAATACCCTTGGCAGTCGTATGTCATTTGAAAGAGCATTTAAAATGCTGCAAAATGACACCTCTCCCAGCTTTCTAACTAAATTAGGACAGCTTCCAGCGCAATTTAAAAAATAAACGTTCACACTTTTTTCGCGAGTTTTTAAAAACTTTACATAGCCATATATCGGAAACGGTGTGAGAAAAAAATTTAAAAATTGGTATTTTTCTTAGTCTTAGTACATAGAATAAGTATACCAAATTTTAGGAAAATCTGAAATGGTGAGGAAAAATTTCTTTTTAAAGTGTGTTGATTTGGCATGGAATGGCTCTTTATCATCTTGTTTACACGTTACTATGAACTTTGACGTTTTTTTGATTTGACATTTGTTGTCATTTAAATACTGTGTTTGTTACTTAGAACAAAAAACAACAGGAAGGAGCATTTAATAAAAGTGGAGCTTCAATATGGCGGATAGTTGTTTCCGTTTGACAGTGGCGTAGTAAATACAATTGAAGTATAATTTTTATAATAATTAGGTTAGTATCAGAAAATATGATACGCCTATGGTTTTTTCTATGATGGTTACGTTCTTAGGTTATGGTTATGTTCTAAGGTTACGTTATTTGACATTGATTTATGTTTAATATTTACAACTAATTATTTTAAAATATACAATAAGTAAATAAATTAAACGTTAACCAAAATACTCACCTATGAAATGTTAATGAATATTTTTAATTTTTTGTGCTCAAGGAGCAACCACAAGCTGCACAACTAACCATAATTTGTTTTTACACCTTAAACACCAATATTTATATCTTAAACTTTAAATATTTACACTAAAAACTAAACGAGAATATATCAAATACAATATTGTCTAGAAACAATGAAACGCTTATTTAAAGTTAATTTAACCAGAAAAACAACATAAAACACCGACAAACACATAAAACATTCAACTTTGACAAATATAGCATCACAAATGTGTCATAATTTGGAGCTTGCAAATGGCCGACTTCCGTCGCAATTTTAGTACGGCTAAAGAATGACAAGACTCCTTCCTGTTGTTTTTTGTTCTAAGGTTTGTTACCTAAATGATTAAAATAATGAATTATAAACTCTAAAAGATCGATGGGTTGGTGTAAACGATAATAAAATTAAGGTAAGTTTGAATAAATAAGGTTTATTAAAGTCTTTTTATATTTTAAAGCACATTTTAATTTCAAATGTCAAACTAAAAATTCGTTAAATCCTAAAATTCATTATATTTTCTCACTAAATATAACTCGTGGTATGATTAATTATCGATGATATTTACTCATTAAAACCGAAGCAGCACATTTCACTCGTCCTGCGGACTCGTGAAATCTGCAGCTCGGTTTCAATTCGAAAATATCATCGATGATAATCATACCACTAGTTATATTATGGGTGACAATATTTAGGGTTGGTAACCATTATAACCCCGCCTAGCAACGGGAATAATGAACTCATTATTTACGTTGTCAGGCATCAGTGATTGGCGGATTTCAATCAATATTTACTGTGAATTGAACCAATCGGGTTTAAAATTGAAAAAAGTAAGGTTTGAACTGTCTAATACATATTAAATAAAGATTTAAAAGCACCTTAATATTGAAAAAACTTTTTAGTTATTACTACTGCATTGATAGCGTATTGTAAAAATAACTCCGTTCAATAAAAATCTATTAATAATAATAAGAACAATTGTTATTTAAAAGAAGATAAAAGTCCAAATACTTTTTGCAATTTTCATAGGTTGCAAAAAATTACTTTTAATCTTTAACAATTACAAAGTGATTTTTTGCAATCTATAACAATTGCAAAAAGTATTTTGACTTTTATATTCTTTGAAATATATTTAGAGCTCGATTATTTTCTAAATTCGTTATTACCCGCCGACCTAAAAACACTGTACCGCTGACTAGGTTATTGATTATTTTCAATATTGAATGTTGCCAATGCTCGGTTTTTTATATATGATGAAGAATTTCATTTTTAACTATCCGGCATATAAACTCTTTAATTTTTGAAATAAATATTGAATTTGTAAGTATATATTTTAAAAACAGCGTATGCATTTTAGTTTCTATTTATTTTTCGTCAAGATCAATCGACTTTAAAAAATAATGATCTCTACATTAAAAAATTTCACTAATTCTTTTAGGGACTTGCGTGTGTTTGTATAAGTCATTATTGCCACAAGTGTATTAAAAAACCTACACTGTAGTTAAAATACAATCAACTTTCGGAAATACGCGCGTGTTTCCAAAAGTATGTTTTTGCTACGCAAGTTTGCCATACTTTTGTAAGTGTTGCAATAATTATTTATGGAAATACCTGCAAGTATTACCCTGCTTAAAATACCCCGTAGAGACCCTGTTCAAACCGATAGATATTTGTATCGGAATGTATGGTGTTTCTATAGGGTGTATCGGTATGTATAGGAGCCATAGTTGGGATTTATGGTTGTTCTATAGGGATATCCACCCTTGATTTATTTGCTATTGGTTTCAATGGGGAAAATACACATAAATGTAGAAATTAGTTTTTCCCCCATAGAACCCTATAGGTTTTAATAAAATTTTGACAAATGTTTTATGGTTGCTCTATAGGGATATCCCTATATATCCTTCATTGAGTTATTTGCTATCGGTCTCAATAGGGAAAATGTAAAAGTTATGGTGTGCCTATAGGTAATTTCCTATACATTTTCTATCGGGCCGTATCCGGAAAAAACCATGGACAAATGCACATATTGAATCCGGTAGCGCCCGATAGATTATTTTGTATAGGTCTCTATGGGGTATTTTAAGCAGGGTAGTAACTTTTAATGTAAATACCTACATGTTTTTGAAATACATGATTGCCAAAACTTTCTATGTTCCTATAATATTTACTTTTTTCCATATATAGCACAATTGCATCTTTTGCAATCTATGACAATTAAAAAAGTATTTTGACTTTTAAATTCTTTTAAATAATAATTGAAACCAGATATTTTTACAATACCTTATTAATGCAGTAAGTCTGCAAACAAACACGCAAAAAAATTTCTTATAAAGTATAATACATAATCATACAGTATGATTCATACTGTAAAAAGTTTTGAATACGCTTTTCTAGCATTTATAATCATTTTTAAAAGTGCTTATTCTTCTCTACGTTAAACCAATAAAATTTCTTAAAATTTAATACAAAATGATTTTCAAAAATAATTAAATAAAATCAGACATCTGTCAAATGGTTAACCTCACTTTTTACCAATTTTAAATGTTATTAGTCGTTTTTTCGCGTAAATACTATGTAATACTACGGTTAAATAAGTCATGACGTCACAGTTAATTCATATAACCATGTTGTTTCTAACATTTGACATTTGTTTACTTGTTCATAACCTATAATTTTTGAAATGTGTTTTTACCTATTTATATTTAATTTCTATGCTTTTACCAGTGTAAATAAATTTCTTTGCCTCTTCTTATACCTAGTATATTCTTTTTCTATACTAGTTTTTTCAATACACGTTATCCAATTCTCCTACATGTTTAATACAAAATAAGGAAGAATATAAAACAAACCTGCATATAATTCCTCCACTTCTTGTGGAGATTCCACAATATGGAGCACCCTATCATTTATTTTTACTGACAACACCCCGTTTACCATTTTAATACAAAGTTTAAATTCGGTTTAAGAGCAATTGTACCTACTTAAAATATTTTAAATTTCAAATGTAAACAACTTTTTGACAGATCGAAACAGAGAAAAATATATATTAAAAAGAGAAAGACTATTAACCACGTTGAATAACTAGCTCAGCGATATAGTTTTATGGTCTGGTATTTGTGACGTCATAGTTAGGATTTTTGAACGCACTCTAAACGCAAAAATGCCTTAACTATTAACCAAAATTAAGTTTATTAACCATAGTATTTCATGGTATTTACGCGAAAAAACGACTATTATAGTCGCCATCTCCCAATTTACAACCGGATTGGTTCAAATCAAATTTATTAAAATCGTCCAATCACTGATGCCTGACAATGTGAATAATGAGTACATTATTCACGTTGCTAGGCAGGAAATTTATAATGTTTATCATTATTAACGAAAAAAACAATATTATGCAATAGAAGTAAATAAAATTAATGTAAGTGATTTATTTAAATGGGTAACATGAAGTTTATTTCATTTTATAGCCGTTGTCAATTAAAAGAGATGTGTATTAAATTTTATTTAGTTTTTAATAAAAAACTTTTTATTTGGTTTAAACTTAACATGTATTATAAAATGTCACAAATATCAAAATAATGTTTATCTTCTAACATACTATAATATCAACGTAGCCCTAAGAAATTATTCATTTTTGTGTTAGTACAATAACTTTATTTTCCTAGTACTATAATAAAATACATGAGCGTAGACAATAAACCGATAAAAAATCTTTTTTTAACTTTATTTTATTCATATTATCTCCGCCTATGGCTTTAGAGAAAGCATACCAAATTTATTTAGTTTTCTTTTATATTTCAAATACTAAAGAAAATCCTACAAAATATAATATCAAATTTAAATTACCGTTATTTTTCGATAAACTATCAGCTGGTTAAATTCTGCTGATATAAACTGGAATATAACATGCATTAATTTTTTATTTATGATCTTGTATTGCTTTATTATTATTTTTTATTTAAGCGCTTGCTACAAGGTAATATTATTATTCTGAAAAAGAATTTCGTGTAAGTTAAGAAAAAATACAACTAATACATACCTTGACAAACTTCTTAAAATTCTTCTTTCCGTTACACACACTACTGACAGAATCGGTAGCGTCGAAAGAGTAGCTCCTAACATTGCTCATGTCCATTGGAATCACTTCAACCGAAGCCCTTTCTTCAAAAAGTCTTATAATGCTTTCTATTTCCTCATCGTATACTTTCTTAACTTTTTCGAACCTGCTTGTTGTCTCTTTGGATAACCAACACGGTTTTTCGACTTTGACACTCACGCACGACACCTCGAAAGGTTTGGCGGTCGTGTTCTGGTCGATTTGAGTGCTGGTAAACACTTCGCGGCATTTTTTCGGAGGCGGTTCCTCAACGTCGGGTTCTTCCTTCACTGTCGGTTGTTTCGCGAACGGATTAACTTTTTTTTTGGCCGGGGCTTCCGGGGCTTCCGGTGCTTTGAATGCGAATGGGTTGGGTTTTTTTGATTCCGGTTGGTTACTGGGGTTTTCTGCAGCTTTCCTTTTCGATGAAAACGGGTTTTCCTGAAAACAAAAATTGAGGTTTACTTTGTTTTATGGGTTCCATCTACTTCCACTAATGCTAGTCTTATAGTTACCTTTGCACAAATCTAATTAAAAAAAACAACAAATATTAAGACTTTGTTTATGAAATTTACAAAATTAACTTTATTTTAACATAATTTACTTAACTAGATCAAAAGGGTCGTTCTTCTTATAAACAGGTACACAAGACCTAAAAGGAATAATTTATTTTAAAGTTTGAAAAAATATAAAATAACCAAAATGGATTATCAAACTAGTAATTTATATAGTCGCGGCCAAATCTGTATGTCATCAATGTGATATTATGACGACAGCATTACCAACTTTGAATTGTAAAGTTACAGTCGTTAAATTTGCTTTTTTAAGGCGTAATTCTGATGTGTTATAAAAAGATATCATTCATTTGCGTATTGTTTACCAAGAACTGTAACAATTGTTACAGTTATTAATATCCCTGTTATAAAACGTTTTTTTACGAAATTATGCAAATAAAACCATTAACTTAGTAATTTTTGTGTGTGCAGGTTGCTAATATCTTAATGCTGACGCGCACCGTTCAATATTATTGATGGGTCAGCGTCATTTTATATTTGACCTTTTTTTTTGTAATTTTGACATTTCGTCCGTAAGCATTGTTTGTTGCAGATAATAATAATTTTATACATTGTGTTTATCATATTCTACCCAATTTCCCCAGGCTATACTTTTTTTGAAAAGATTCATCGCATACGCAATACGAAAATATGGTCGCGATTTTACTATTGCTTTAAACAGAAATGGCGATCTGGTATCCAAAACCAAAACTCTTAGAAGGAAAAACCACTCTGGACACAAACTCATTTAGTAAATGCTCCTTCCTCTTGTTTTTACTTCTAAGCCAAAACCAAACGCTATTTTGTTAAATAATAAACTTAGATGGCGTGATTTCCATTATTCTTAAAAATCGCTGTAATTTGCGATATTAGACTGTTGCCAACTGCTAGCAAGCAAACAAAATTTGGGCTATAATTTACCAATCTTTGACCAATTTGTTTGGATGTCAAATGATGTATTTTGGCAAATTACAATAGTAAAACTAATCAAGGTTACAAAAATTATATATATTCCTAGAATTTTAAAGTTTTTTTTATTCATTAACTTGTTTTCTTGGATATTTTCAGAAATGTCCACTCTTAACTAGGATGTCAATCCCGAGCCCTTTTTTCGGGACCAAAGGTAACTTATCCCGGGATCAGTCCCGAAAAAATATATATCAATAATTTTAAAACCAATTTAAAATAAAGGAACATACAAACTAACGAACGATATCTTTCGGACTTCACACTAGTTGAAGTTGCGGCTGCGACTGCGATTAATCGCAGTCGCAGCCGCAATATTGAGTGTTTTCCTTGATGCGTCTAGTTTTATGCGATTTGGCTTAGTTTTAAAGATCTGGTTTTACAAATAACATGGACAGCGATCTTTTAACCCTAATTCTCTTATAGAAGAAAAAGAAGCTGAACAGTGGCTCCTACAGGCAATATTAGAACATAAAAGATGTGAGACACATAATATATTTAAAAGGCGTGCAGAAGGATATTTTAATTTGAATATAAACTCCCATTTAAAAGAAGATGTGAAAAAATTTAAATATTTTTTTGGGTAAATCCTGAGCAATTTAATTTTGTTCTGTCCCTAATACAAGAGGATATAAAGAAGCCTTCATCCTCGTTTGCACTAAACTCTACCATTTTTTATCAACCAAAACATATACACACAAATTGTACTAAGCAGTGGCGCGGCTACGGTCGCAGCCGCAACCTGCAGCCGCGAGTCGCATCAACGAAACCGTACCTTAAGCCGCAATATTGAGTGTTTTCGTTGATGCATCTAGTTTTATGCGATTTGGCTTAGTTTTAAAGATCTGGTTTTACAAATAACATGGACAGCGATCAAACCCTAATTCTCTTAGAAGAAGAAACTGAACAGTGGCTCCTACAGGCATTATTAGAACATAAAAGATGTGAGACAAATAATCTATTTAAAAGGCTGCACGAAGGATATTTTAATTTGCTTATAAACTCCCGTTTAAAAGAAGATGTAAAAAAATTTAGAAATTTTTTTTGTCTAAATCCTGAACAATTTTGTTCTGTACCTAATACAAGAGGATATAAAGAAGCCTGAAAAAAAATGTGTAAGATTTGCACTAAACTTTGCCATTTTTTATCAAACAATCGCAGACGACTGCGATTTGACTGGTCTGTGTAGCATTCCAACCAAAACTATGCATACAAATTGTACTAAGCAGTGGCGCGGCTACGGTCGCTGCCGCAAGCCGCAGCCGCGATTCGCATCAACGAAACCGTACCTTAAAGGTACCCGACTGCTACATAGACCTGTCAAATCGCAGTCGTCTGCGATTGTTTGATAGAAAATGGGTTAAAAGGGCTAAAAGTTATAGTTATTTGTACAGGGCTCTCAAATGTCCTAAAAGTCCTGAAATTCAGCATTCTGTCCTAAATGTCCTATAAAATTGGTTTTGTCCTGAAATGTCCTAAAATTTGTCATTTTTTGTTTTGTTAATATTTAAAATTGCCCCATAAACAACCTGGTACATGATTTCGCCATGATTAAAACACCAAAACATCAGTTTGTTATCTAGGATGTTTGATCAAAATTAGCGAATTGGATGATCAAATTGACTTCTATCAACACAAAATTAACAATTTGGACCATCTAATTTTAAATGGAAATGTGAATATCGCAAAACTATTGAATACTGTATCAAAATTAGCGAATTGGATGATCAAATTGACTTCTATCAACACAAAATTAACAATTTGGACCATCTAATTTTAAATGGAAATGTGAATATCGCAAAACTATTGAATACTGTAAAGAAGGCAATTAATAAATCGGACCTATCTATAGAGTAAAGGCTACTGTATTAGAACTAAGCACCAAAGAAAAGAAACAGCTCTGTGATAGAATTAAAGCTTTAAAAAAAGAAAAAAACGACGTATTAAATCCAAAACATCCAAGACATAAAATATTTTAGTTTTCTTTTAACAATATTAAATAATTAATTTTTATCTAATAAAACGTTTAAATTTGTATTAAATTTTGTCTAAAATGTCTTTAAATTCCACTAAAGTTTGTCCTAAAATCCTAAAAATAGGACTTAAGAATTCGCTGGGAGCCATGTTTGTAAAACCAGATATTTAAAACTAAGTAAAATCGCATAAAACTAGACGCATCAACGAAAACACTCAAGTCGTTCAAGTCGCATCAACGAAACCGTACCTTTAACAAATAATTCCATTTATTTTATCAATCAGGCCTTGGTGAGTTTCAATTGGGGCTGTAATTTACATTGAAATTATCAAGTTTGTGAAATTTTTTAGGTTTGTCGTTTGAAATATATATACAAAGGCGCCCACAGAAAATTGTCTAGGGGGGGGGGGAAACTATAAATGACAGTCGAGAAATTTAAGACAAACATTTTTTAAAAATTTAGAAACATTTAGTTGAACCTGCTTAACTTCGATATTTATTTTTGTACCAATTGGTTAAGTTAAGAGCAAATAGGGTCCTCCCTATAATGGGGACCAAGAAGAAACAAAAAAATACTTTTTACTACCTTATTATTAATTATGAATAATAATCGGCAATAATAAAAATGTAATTTTACATAGTGTTTTTGTAGAAGTAGGTAGTAGCTAATTGCTATAAGCAATTGGCAATTTGCTAATTCAAGATCTCTGATATATTGAAAATATGATCATATTTTCGCAAATATTTTATTTCGATAATAAATGCGAAGAAATTTCCAGGGGCACTTGCCCCCCTCCGGGCGCTCATGTATATATATGTAATATAGGTTATGTACATAAATTTATTCTACCTGTAATTTTACATTTTCTTTGCTGATTTCATGCTTAACGCGATAGATGGAATCACTCTTGATATGTAATTTCAATGTATTTTCATTATTGTACGGCGGTGTATAATAAATTTTATTTAAACTGCGTAAAAAAATAAAGTGTCTATATATATGCTTATGAGTATTATAATATAAAAACTGTCATATGCTTAAAAAAAAGTATATTTTATTCTTTGTAACTTATTATTAAGATCCCGGGACTGGGACTTTTGATCCCGAGATTTCGGGCTCGGATTTTTTACGGGATTTCGGGATCCCGGGATTGACACCCCTACTCTTAACCTATACATAGAAATTTAGACGTCATTTGAATTTCCAAAATTTAAATTTTTGACGTTACATTATACGCCCTTATTTAATTTAAGTAACGAAACGATGCTTTTAACAATAATTTTTCTTTTGTTCTTATATGATAATATACATTATATGAATACGTCAATGCAGAAACTGAATATGTCCTACCTATCTAGTTTTGAGATAAATAAGAAAAACTGAACAGAAAGTGGACATATGTTCTGGACATATTCAGTTTCTTTACTATATTAACGCCTTTGTATATTCTAGATTACCGTGACATGTGAAATTTCTACGCCATTCGATCGGGCTCCCTTTACTTATAGTAAATCCATGTTTAACTCAATAGCCCTAAAAAGTGGACATATTCAGTTTCTGCATTGACCTATTCATATATTATATAACTATTCAAAAGCACTGAATAAATTTGCTCCATCATTGAATAGTGGTTGAAAGTTCCAAAACCCCGGATATCGATAAATTTTAAGTCATATATAAGTGAAAATGTACAATACTGCCGTGCTTAATGAAAACGCCGTAACCAACAATTTTGCGATTTTTTGTTTACGGCATTTTCTACTAGAACAATTCATCCTGCGTCTATCCCCGGTACTCAAAAAACCGTATAGATATAGATACGGTTTTTTGAGTACCGGGGATAGACGCAGGATGAATTGTTCTAGTAGAAAATGCCGTAAGCACGGCAGAATAGTTATTTATGTCATTAGGTTAAGAAGTAAGGCTTTTGTGCTAAGCTCAAGGT